GGCAGCAGTTGAAGAAGGAGCAAAAAGGGTTTTCTTGTGTGTGTGTGTTTCTTTGTGGCTGATTGGCTGCTCTCCCTGTGCAAAGGTCAGAGGGGGCAGGGTTTCTGTTGAGGCAGGTGATTAGCTGTGGGAGGAGCTTATCAGAGATTGCTGGGCAGCAGTTGAAGAAGGAGCAAAAAGGGTTTTCTTGTGTGTGTGTGTTTCTTTGTGGCTGATTGGCTGCTCTCCCGTGCAAAGGTCAGAGGGGCAGGGTTTCTGTTGAGGCAGGTGATTAGCTGTGGGAGGAGCTTATCAGAGATTGCAGGGCAGCGGCGCAGCCTCAGCGCGCGCGCAGTTTGATCCATCTTTTAGATTTAGGGGAGCTAGTCTCAAACGTTTGTTGGGGAAGACCTACGTTTTTTGTGGGGGGGGAGTTATTTTTCCTGTCTTCACGCTTTTTATGATGGAGGACCACTGTAGCCAACCCCAACGACACGTTCTCAAGATGGAGGGGGAGGGAACAGCTGCAGTCGCCTGCGGTTCCTGCGCAATGCTTGCCATCTTGCCAAAGGTTGCAGGCAGCTTTACCTGCAGCAATTGCATGTTGATTGCCCTCTTAAAAGACAAAGTCCAGCAACTGGAGGAACGTGTAGCTACGCTCCAAAGAATTAGAGAGCTGGAGCTCTTCTTGGAAGCAACAGAGCACACCGTCTCCACCAAGGAGGAGACAGGGGACTCCCTGAGAAGGACGCTAGTTCACCAACACAGGAGCCAGATATATGGAGAAACGTGACTCAAAGAAGTAGGAGGCCCAGGGTTCGCTCTGATTGTTTAGAAATACACAATCGCTTTGAGGTCCTCTCCCCTAGCATGGAAGACGAAGAGCAGACTCCATTTGAGGATCTCTCCCTCATTACAGTCGATCAGGTATATGAAGACGAGCAGCAAAGTCAGTCCTCAGGGAATGTGCAGGCGACCTTGGAGCGGACAGCTCACGGAAGAACCCCGGCCAAACCTAAGAGGAGGCGTGTAGTGGTGATAGGGGATTCCCTACTGAGGGGAACAGAAGCAGTGATCTGTGGGCCTGACAAGATGTCTCGGGAAGTGTGCTGTCTCCCGGGGGCTAAGATCCAAGATGTAACTGAACGACTGCAAGGAATCATAAAACCCACTGACAAATACCCCTTCCTCTTGGTTCATGTGGGAACCAATGACACTGCAAGCAATAGCCTCCAGAAGATCAAAAGAGACTACGAGGCTCTGGGCAGGAAATTGAAGCAATTAAATGCACAAATTGTGATCTCATCTGTCCTCCCAGTTGAACGACGTGGCCCAGGGAGAGAGGGGAAAATAGTGGAAGTGAACAGCTGGCTTCGCAAATGGTGTAAACAGGAACGGTTTGGATTCTTAGATCACGGACTGCAGTTTCTTGAAGATGGACTTCTGGCAAGCGATGGGCTGCACCTCACAACGGTTGGGAGAAATGTTTTTGCCAAAAATCTCAGAAACCTCATCAGGAGGGCTTTAAACTGACTAATGTGGGGAGGGAGAAAGTGCACCTGAAGGTAGGAGTCTAACAATTTATGAAGATTATAAACCAAATTTCATAGACCAAATGGAGCAAACAGCACACAGACCAAGTGGTGGGAGGAAAAATCCTTAAATAAGAGTCACGGGGAATGATTAATGGACTTCAATGTCTGTACACTAATGCGCAAAGCATGGGAAATAAACAAGATGAGCTTGAGCTCTTGGTACAGCAAACTAAATATGACATAATAGGCATCACTGAAACCTGGTGGGATAAGTCCCACAATTGGAATGTAATAATGGGGGGATACAATCTATTTCAGAGAAACAGACCAGACAAGAGAGGAGGAGGAGTGGCGTTATATGTCAGGGATGTGTATACCTGTGAAGAGATCCAAGATTTAGAACCTCAAAGCCAAAGTGAGAGCATTTGGGTCAAAATTAAGGGAGAGAAGAATAACAGTGACCTCATTGTGGGAGTTTACTATAGATCCCCAAGCCAAACGGAGGACATAGATGATGCCTTCCTGGAACAGATGGCCAAGCATGCAAAAGGAAGGAGATAGTAGTAATGGGGGACTTCAATTACCCGGATATTTGTTGGATGTCAAACTCAGCCAAGAGCATAAGGTCAAACAGATTCCTCACTGGCCTTGCAGACAACTTCATTGTCCAGAAAGTGGGAGAAGCAACAAGAGGAACAGCCATTTTAGATCTGGTCCTAACCAATGTTGATGACCTGGTTAGTGGGGTAGAAGTGGAAGGATCATTAGGCGCAAGTGATCATGCTCTTCTGAAGTTTACTATACAGCGGAAAGGAGCAGCCAAGCATACTAGGACTCAATTTCTTGACTTTAAGAAAGCTGACTTCATAAAACTTAGGGAAGTGCTGGGTGAGATCCCATGGACAGTAATACTAAAGGGAAAGGGAGTTCATGATGGCTGGGAGTTTGTTAAGAGGGAGATACTAAAAGCACAACGTCAGGCAATACCAATGAGACGGAAACATGGAAGGTGCCTAAAGAAGCCAGGGTGGCTATCTAAAGAACTTTTAACTGAGTTAAGATTAAAAAGGATGTGTACAAAAATGGAAAAGGGGGGAAACCACCAAAGAGGAATTCAAACAAATAGCCAGCACGTGTAGACACAAAGTCAGAAAAGCTAAAGCACAGAATGAACTCAGGCTTGCTAGAGAGGTTAAAAGCAACAAAAAAGGCTTTTATGGGTATGTCCGTAGCAAAAGGAAGAACAAAGAAACAGTGGGGTCACTCAGAGGAGAAGATGGTGAAATGCAAACAGGGGACACAGAAAGAGCTGAACTCCTCAATGCCTTCTTTGCCTCAGTCTTCTCCGATAAAGAAAACAATGCCCGACCTGAAGAATTTGGAGCAAATGATTCAGCAAAGGAAACACAGCCCAGAATAACTAAGGAGATAGTACAAGAATACTTGGCTAGTTTAGATGTATTCAAGTCTCCAGGGCCAGATGAACTGCATCCAAGAGTATTAAAAGAACTGGCAGATGTGATCTCAGAACCGCTGGCAGTCATCTTTGAGAATTCCTGGAGAACAGGCGAAGTCCCGGCAGACTGGAGGAGGGCAAATGTTGTCCCTATTTTCAAAAAGGGGAAAAGAGAGGACCCAAATAATTACCGCCCAGTCAGTCTGACATCAATACCAGGGAAGATTCTGGAGCAGATCATTAAGCAAACAGTCTGTGAGCACCTAGAAAGGAATGCTGTGATCACCAATAGTCAGCATGGATTTCTGAAAAATAAGTCATGTCAGACTAACCTGATCTCGTTTTTGACAGAATTACAAGCCTGGTGGATGAAGGGAACGCAGTGGATGTAGCCTACCTTGATTTCAGCAAGGCATTTGACAAGGTGCCTCATGATATTCTTGTAAAGAAGCTGGTAAAATGTGGTCTTGACTATGCTACCACTCAGTGGATTTGTAACTGGCTGACTGACCGAACCCAAAGGGTGCTCATCAATGGTTCCTCTTCATCCTGGAGAAGAGTGACTAGTGGGGTGCCACAGGGTTCTGTCTTGGGCCCGGTCTTATTCAACATCTTTATCAACGACTTGGATGATGGACTCAAGGGCATCCTGATCAAATTTGCAGATGACACCAAATTGGGAGGGGTGGCTAACACCCCAGAGGACAGGATCACACTTCAAAACGACCTTGACAGATTAGAGAACTGGGCCAAAACAAACAAGATGAATTTTAACAGGGAGAAATGTAAAGTATTGCACTTGGGCAAAAAAATGAGAGGCACAAATACAAGATGGGGGACACCTGGCTTGAGAGCAGTACATGTGAAAAGGATCTAGGAGTCTTGGTTGACCACAAACTTGACATGAGCCAACAGTGTGACGCGGCAGCTAAAAAGCCAATGCAATTCTGGGCTGCATCAATAGGAGTATAGCATCTAGATCAAGGGAAGTAATAGTGCCACTGTATTCTGCTCTGGTCAGACCTCACCTGGAGTACTGTGTCCAGTTCTGGGCACCACAGTTCAAGAGGACACTGACAAACTGGAACGTGTCCAGAGGAGGGCAACCAAAATGGTCAAAGGCCTGGAAACGATGCCTTATGAGGAACGGCTAAGAGAGCTGGGCATGTTTAGCCTGGAGAAGAGGAGGTTAAGGGGTGATATGATAGCCATGTTCAAATATATAAAAGGATGTCACATAGAGGAGGGAGAAAGGTTGTTTTCTGCTGCTCCAGAGAAGCGGACACGGAGCAATGGATCCAAACTACAAGAAAGAAGATTCCACCTAAACATTAGGAAGAACTTCCTGACAGTAAGAGCTGTTCGACAGTGGAATTTGCTGCCAAGGAGTGTGGTGGAGTCTCCTTCTTTGGAGGTCTTTAAGCAGAGGCTTGACAACCATATGTCAGGAGTGCTCTGATGGTGTTTCCTGCTTGGCAGGGGGTTGGACTCGATGGCCCTTGTGGTCTCTTCCAACTCTATGATTCTATGATTCTATGATTCTATGATTCTATTATGGTGGTTCTAAGACAACCATTTCCAGAATGCGCAGCTGGGGGGCTACAGGTTCACTCCATGGATTCAACATGGGGACCAACATGGCTCATCTTGCCTGCACGCTTTTTAGCTTCTATATATGGGTTGGGTGACACACGGCCCCCACGGTGTGCAACAACTCCAACATCGTTGACCCATTAGTCACATTAGATGGGGCTGATGGAGGGGCACAGACAGCTGTTAAGGAATGGCACCTAGAGGGTTGCAGTAAGGTACTGTCATTTATATAAATGTTTGGATCAGTAATTTCATTCTTAACATCTTCCTGATCCAAGTAAAAGGCATAACAACTGAAGTTCAAATTTGTGCTGTTGCCATATTGGTTGGAGCAACCCTGTCACACCAACACCTCTGGAGTTCTGTATTTCTGTATTATGGAAACATTATTAATTTTCTAACTGTACACATACAAAAGCACACCTTCAAAGTAAATTAAGAAGTCTGAATATTTTAATTCAAACTGTGAAAATAGAAATTAAAGCAATTACAGAAACTGATCACTAGGTGATGCTCTCACTTTCTTCTTTGTAAGAACACAAGCTGTCAGTAAAGTGATAAGAAGCAATGTCTAGATAAGTCAGTAATTATTTCAGGTAACCAAAAAAATGTATTTTTGAAATAATCTGCTTTAAAAGGAAAGCTGAATTTAACATGCTTAAAGCCTATGCTTTAATGATTGTCCATCAAACACCGTATTAAAGAGCAGTAGTAAAGGCTGCTCTTCTACACAAGAGAAAATGCTATTAGTAATAAAATACAGAACATCAAAATGCTTGACCTATGATGTCATTTCTGAGATACACGTCAGAAAGAATAATTGCTTATGAAGGTCAATCAAAAACAGTGCTTTCAAGCTCACAGCACAGTGTAAGCCAACAGAAAGTGGCTTCCACAATCCTCTCCAGTTTCCCCCCTGAACATTCCAACCAAGTGGCGGCTGGAGGACCATTTCTCATCTGGCAGCTTCTACTGTGAGAGTGAATAGAAAAATGGTGGTCAGGACAGTGTTGGATGGAGGGACAAGTGGCATGTTGAAGGACAGTTGAGAGACAGTGAGGGACAGAATGAAAGCATAGGCAAAAAGAGTGAGGAGAGTCATGTTATTAGATATTAATAATTACCAGAAAAGTCCTTTCCAATGTTTCCCTTTCATCAGGATTAGAAACATTCTTTCCACAGTGGTCCAAAATGCTGATGACAGGAAGCCTGCTATTCTAACAGGCATTGGCACTACGGCTTTCAATGGGGTCACCAGCCTTTTTGGATTAGTGGAGACACCATTTGATTTGCTACAACCAATGGCTGCTTTCAAACCCATCTCCCCAGGGGCAGGAGCCCGTGGGGCCACATTGGTGAACTCTGTTTTACATCCTTAGCACCAGAGAACGATCTATCTTCCACTTCACTCACTGAGATCTTCCAATAATAAGACAGGTAGGAAAATGAGACAGACAGGGAGGTCAGTAGGAAGCCGGGTCTGTTTCTTTCAGGCTGATTGTGAGATTCCCAGAAGCATATTTTTGTCATTGTTGGAAGGAGGATGCTGCACTAGCTTAACGTTTGGTTCAATCCTGTGGAGTTACTGTTACATTCTTATGGCAGGCCTTGATTTTTTAAAAGTAGTGATTATTGGGGCAGAGAAAGGGTTGCTAATGACAAAGATATACAAAGATGGAACAACAATGATTCAGACAAGGCCTTGTTGATTTAGTCAGAACAGAGAAGAAAGCTGAAGGAGCAGAGTGAAGTCCCTTGACTTACCAGGCATGTTTTGCTCCAGGTGCAGGTCCAATGGTGACTACGTAGAGATTTCTGGGTGTCAAGTTGGCAACTGACATCTCCACTGAGCGAGCCGACTCATGGGCAGCAAAAGACACCTGCCTTGTGCCTGTGCTGCCACACGAATCATGCACCCCTTGTTGGGCATCTGAGTCCTCCATCATCAAGGAAAGTAAGTGGAGGGCTGAGTATATTTGACTGTGCTGCAGCCTTTCCATAGACCACTCAAATGGAGCTCATAGACCACCGTTTAAAAAACTTAGTCCATTGTCAATACCATTTCCCTTCCTGCTGTGTGCGCGTCTCCTCCTTGCATACTGGGACAAGTGATTTGTTGTAAAAGCAGACTAAAGTCAAGCAATGTGGTTGAGATCGTGGAATCGTAGCATTGGAAGGGACCTCAAGGGACATCCAGTCCAACCAACTGGTGAATAGACATCCCATTGTGGCGACTGTAACCGAGGTTTCAGGTGTCTTTGGTGCCTAGCTTATCTATCTGAGCTTCTTCCACTGTCACCTACAGTATGTTTTGGGAAAGGCGAAGGGGCAGGCGCCCGGGGGAATCAACAAGCAATGAAGACACTCATTTGAATGCACAAAATTACTCTAATCCATTTTTAAAGAAAAGTTTATTAAATGGTAGTATTCTCTAACAAATTTTAAGAAAATGCAGGCATAAGGTTTGTGCTAACTATTCCCGATAGCATGAACCTTAAACTGCAAAAGTGTCCAATAATAAGCAATCTCCTGGCTGGAAATTGAATTTGTACCCAAATCTTCTCTCTGGAGAGATAATTAGACTCAGGTCCTTTCAGGCTTTAAGTTTATAATTTTCTTCACCAGTAAATCCAGATCTTCATCTTCCTCGCCACTTAAGTCCAATTCATGGCTTTCCTCAAATTCAACATTTCTGTTTCTTGTTTGATCGTTTTTGGAAGGTTCATGCTCAGTGTTCTCTAGACTTGTCTGAATCCTATGACAAAATACACAAAGTATCATTTCTCCAGCTTTCATCCCTGAATTTTGAAACTGGGATATGATGCAGGAGGAGAAGAGACTTTTCATACAAATATTTCATACAAATATTTTTATTTACTTACGTATTTAATTACTTACTTACTTACTTACTTGCTTGCTTGCTTACTTAATATACCGCCCTATACCCGCAGGTCTCAGGGCAGTTCACAGAATAAAATCAAAATATAAAACCACAAAATACAATATCAAAATAAAAACAACCACCACCCAATAACCTCCCCCCCCTTAAAAAAACACATTTTGATATCAGCCAAATCAACCGAAGGCCTGATTAAAATGGAACGTTTTTGCCTGGCACCTAAAGGTGTACAATGAAGGTGCCAGGCGAACTTCCCTGAGAAGAGCATTCCACAGATGGGGAGCCACTGCAGAGAAGGCCCATTCTCATGTTGCCACCCTCTGGACCTCTTGAGGAGGCGGCAGACAAAGGAGGGCCTCGGAAGATGATCTCAGGGTCCGGGTAGGTCCATATGGCATAGTTTAGGGCAGGCATGTCCTACTTGGAGTAGCCTGTGGTCTACGATCCACTACAGAAACTGGCAGTTATCTACCACCCAGGGATGGGTGCAGGGTGGGTGGGCGCGCACCGCCGGCTCCTTCTCCTGAGGAGGCAGGGATGGATGGGCACTGGCTGCTTCCCCTGAGGGGGCAGGGCTGGGTACAGGGTGGGTGGGCGCTGGCTGCTTCGCCTGATGCCAGATGCTCCCCCCGCCCTTGTCAAAGGGAGCCGTGCAGGCGATCCTGATCCCGCCTCCCCCCTCAAAGCAGATGGGCTGCGGAGCTCTGGGCGATGCTTCTCCTCTCTCTCCCCCACCCCACCCCCAACCAGCACTCTCTCTCTCTCTCTCTCTCTCTCTCTCTCTCTCTCACACACACACACACACACAGAGCATGCCTTTCCGTCTGCGTGCGCCTCTGCCCTCTTCCTCCTCCCGCCGGCTTCTCCTTCTGCCTTTGTTGTGCGCGTGCATCTTTCACGCCCAGCTCCCGTTGCCTTTATGGCTGGTGAGGAGCCTCCTGTGCTCTGGCTGCCTCGGCCCCCGATCGACCAAGATCAACCCCGCAATCAACCAGTCAACTGCAGTCGACAGGTCCGACCATGAGGGTAATGCAACCTCAACCTGTCAGTCATGCTGGCCAGAACAGCACAGTAATGCTTCGTGGGAAGCAAGGAGAAACTGCTGGTGTGGGAGTAATGAAGAGAGCGGTTCTGCCCTATATAGTCTAACCTAGGTCCGGTTTCTCTTTTCTGTTTAATGTATTAACTATGAAGCCTCATTTGACACATCTAAGGCATTTGTCATCCATTTTTTATCTGTCTCAGGATCGCAGCACCTCAAGGACCACCTCTCCCCATGGGAACCAGCCTGCAAGAGATTTGGAGGGTGGCCTTTTCTGTGGTGGCTCCCCACTTGTGGAATGCTCTCCCTGGTGAGGCACATTTCTCTTTTCCCAGGTCTTTGGCTAATTAAACAATCTATGGCTTTTTAATCTGGGGGGAGGTAACTGTTTTTGTTTGTTACTATGTTATTCATTTGGGGTTTTTTATACTGTTAATTGTCCTGTGATCCTTGGCAGAAGGGCAGCAGAAAAATTTACTAAATGAAATAAATAAAGAAATAAAATTTTGTTTAGTGTTCGCATGTGGGCAACAGTTTTAATCATAGGTAGTTGACCAAAATGGGAAGGTTTTTTTTTGTTATTAAAAAAAAATTGAGCTGTGCTTTCATATGCCATTAAAGGAGAGTGCCCACAATTCACATAGCGTATCACTGAATACCAGTATCTCCTCCTGGTTTATTTTTTAATGCCTAGGTAAGTGCTGACCCTGCTGTAATATTACTGGAAACAATTAGCCTCCAGATCTGGAAGCATTTAAGAATATAGGAGTTCCTGAAACGACCCAGATATTATGTGTTTTGTGTGAGAGAGAAGAGATTGCTCACTACAAGTGAGGTCACATCCAGGTAGTTATCAGTCATATAACCAATTTCTGTAAAAATGCTATAGTTATGCTAGTTAGGAAGAAAACAGCATTTTTCCAGTAACACATTGTTGTCTGACTGTTGCAAAATTGATGCATATCAGAACAACTATACTGAAAAAACCCATAGCACGTTTTAAAAGCTATTGTGCTAAAAATCAACACTTGGTGAGGTGCTTAAAAATGATTTCCACAAACTTAGGTTAACTCTGGTAGTTCCAGCCTAGTCATGTATATAAATAGATGCAGCCAAGGTGTGAGCATTTGCATTACTAATGGAACTCCTTTATGTAACCAAACTTGTACAGTTTCATCAATGTGCCCCATTTTGTTGTAGCAAATTACCATTTGGCCACTTTACTGGAAAAGGGAAGGGTCCAAGCCTGTGGTTAAGATGGCAAACCTAGGCATCCTCATGTGGAAGCACTGAAGTTGATGCCTCCTCCTCTCCCACAACTGTCTAGCAACAATCATTCCATCAGGATACAAAGACCTAGGAAGCAAGGCCACTCTGTTGGCTCTACTAAGAGACCAGATTCCTCTGGTTCCCTCACTCTCTTCAAACAGTTTCCATTCAGGCTGGTTATTATGAGACTTTGGTGACTTCAATAACTGGTGCCTGACTTTGTTAGTTTTCCTCTTCCTTCCTCTTCCTGCCTTTTGGATTGAAAGCCCTAGGGGAGGGGATGCCTTGTTCATTACTGATCTTTTGTACATTGCTCTTGGCGCCTATAGGAGTGAAGAGCAGGGTAAAGATGCTTTAAATACTAAATTTAGTGTCATCATTACTGAAAAGCTGAGGAGGCGGCGGCGTAAGAGGCCACACTTAGTTCTCCAATCAGCACTGCAACACTTCTGCCCAAAGAGAGATGGGATGCTTCACATGCAGGAACAGCATTTGCACTGCACAAGGAGACTTTGCCAAAAGACACAAGAGCTGCATTTTGGCCATGATAAACAAGACACATGGAGCATGGCAGATGCTTGCGTTTCCTTCCCCTTCCATCTCACATTCAAAGCTACTCCAAGACCAGTTAAGATGATTATTACACACATCAAATCTAAGGTATACACCACGAAATAATCCACAGCATAAGCAGGCTGGACAATTTAACTTTCACTGCCACTGTGAGGAGGAACCTGATACTTCCTCCCAGCTTTGGAGCTTGGTCCAAGCCTGGATTCTGATGTGGCTTTGAACTTGCTCCTGCCTGCCCATTAGGCAAGGAAGGTCCAGGCATCAGAATGTTTCTGGCTGGACACCAAAGTTTGCCAACACCTGTGTGAAATAAATTGGGATACACAAATGTTAAGTGAAATGCTTACGGAATCACAATTTCTTCTTTCTTTCCACATTTAGCACATAGCTCTAATTCATGAGCACACAGTTTGCAGATGATGTGGTAAGAATCCTTTACAGTCTTCTTCAGACATTTGACACTATTAAAAGGAACACAAAAGTTGAATTAAAATGGTTAACCAGACTGTTTGTTACAAAAGATCGCTGCATATCTTTCAAATTTCAGATAGCCGAGTAAGAGAGATGTTTGAATGATTTTCAGAAGCTTTGAAATCCTGTGAGAATGAGAGGGTTTTGCTTGTTTCTTTCTTCTTCATTTTGCAATATGTAATACCCCCTTTCTTCCCAAAGGGTTAGAGAAGGTTCCCCCCTCCTGCATTACATTCTACATCCCTGGCACAAGGCTTCTTTAAAGCAGATTTTCCAGCTGCATATTCCCCAGACGCACAAAATGTTAAAAAGACAAACCAACACAAAGAACGCTTTGCTTGTTGCTTATACCCTGTATCAGTGGCAGTTTCTTCAGGAGTCAGTAGTTCTCATCTTCTCTACAGTAAGGTAACAGTCCAGTATAAATCCCAACTCAGTGACACTGAGCAAGGCCCACTGGCTTACTCTGAAAGTTATCTATCAAATTCTGCTACTTCATCAAACTTGTGCTACCAAAACATAGCCCTCACTTCTAAACATAAAATTGCCTTGTAAGTCCCAATGAGTTTGGCAGGACTCACTCCTATGGAAGTGTACATAAGAAAGCAGCCTTAGTCACAAAGGTCGTTTCAAACACACCCTTTCCTCCTCGCAATAGAGACTTTGAGTGATACAACACTTTCAAAAACAAAGGCAAGCCCAAAGATTGTTTATAACTGCAAGGCGTTCCTCTGTATGAATCACCTAGTGTTGCAAAGGTATTACTCCTTCTGAGAAGCAAATGACACATTGAGCAAAAAACACAAGTCACAAAGCCCAGATTTTTGTTTTGTATTAATGAAAAGCAGACAGGCTTGATTGTAAGTGAATGGAAAGGGAGTGCTTAAATCTCTCCCTCTCAAAACGGTTTCCTCCCCATGCAGGGTCCTGCATATCCTATCATTGCCCTTCTCAAAACTGCAGACTCCTGAGGCTGCTTCTCATTTAAAAATGAAGCTTATTTACATGCATGCCTGCATACATCATTTGTCTCTGAATGTATGGAAGAGCAACTAATGATTATTCAAGCAATGGAGGTCTAAGATAGTTCAAAGTCTACTGAAGACTATTCACCTAGATTAATTTTAAGGAAGTGTTCCATAGCTCCAATTTAATGACAGTCTTTACTTTGCATGGCTTTTGTATCAACATTTCTTCAGCATGCCTCATTACTCATAAATTTATTTCATGAAATCACAAGACTGTGGCTGTGTCCACACCTTGGGTCATCTTGACATCTGAATACAGTCAAGTATCTTCAGTACATACTGGTCTGCACTGAGCACATGTAATAACAGCAAAGCAGTAAGCTATGGAACAATATTTACTCACCATTTTTTAGGTTGTGTTAGTGGCTTGTATTTGTTGAATTTTACACGCCATTCCAGGACTTCCTTACAATGCTGACATAGCCCTTCATGGATTTTTGAATTAATTTTCTAAAAGGAATATGAAGAGTTTACATTTACTTAGTTGAACTTGAAATACAAAATCTCACAAATCAGTGACAACTTCATTATTTCTAGTTTTGAAAACTTTAAGAAACCATATGCGATGTAATGTGTATGATCTATGAAAAACTGTTCAAAATTTTGTCAGCATTAATTACACTGTTTTCTGGATTGCTTGAGGAAAGGCACATGCTATGATTTTTATGGAAAGAATGAACCAACCTACTTATTGTTTGACTGCAGACTTAGTTGGGTACATTCAAAAAAGCTTTCTGGATTGCAGCCAAAAGCCTTAGAAATACCTGGTGAGATTTCTCATGTCACTCTTTTAACCAAACACACAGTTCCATATTAAACAGCTTTTGAAAATCCCATCAGCTGAGAGTCAGACACATGTTGTCAGACACAGACAGCTGAAGAAAAGAACTAGCAATATTATAACCCCACCAAGGGCTCAAAATAAAATCACAACCATTCTCTGCTTGGCCTCTGTCACTGCAAGGCAGGGAGTTGCAAGGATGAAGGGAAGCATTTGCAAATGTTCTCTCTAATCAGTCAAAATTAACACTGCTAGCAACTTTCTTATTAGAGATGTTTACAGTAGTGTTAAGCATCATGTATTAGCATGTGAACATCACCATGCTAGGCTAGTTTGACACTCTGGCCAAACATCAGTGCACAGTAAATTTCCCCTTGTACCTACTGAGAGAGAGAGGTGACTCAGCTATTCCAACAGTGAGCAGGAAGCTACTCATCCTACTATCGCAACATAATCTCCGCAAGAACTCGACTCCTTGTTGACTAATCAGATTTAACTACATAGAAAGAGCCTAATGCATCATGCCAATGGCTCATATATGCCAGTATCCTGTTCTCACAATGGCCAACCAGATGCATGTGGGAAATCTGCAAGCAGGATTCGAGCACAAGAGCAGACTTAGGGTTGCCACCTGTATAACACAGGATTGTCCTGTATTTCAATGTAAAATGTAAAATTCAACGTAAAATCCATTGTGTGTGTGTGTGTGTGTGTGCGTGTGACAAATTCCAGAGATGCAATCCAGTTAGGTTGCAATAGATTGTAATGGGTTGCTTTCAAGTCACTTCAGCACCAGAATTTTTTAAAAAATTGTCCCCCAACTGCACCGCCCTACCCTGTCCTGTATTTTGCCAGAACAAAGGTGGGAAGCCTAAGCTCACTCGTCTCCTGTGGCTTCTAGCAACTGGTATTCAGATGCATTGCTGGTGTAGTGGTTAAGAGCAGTGGAGTCGTAATCTGGTGAACCTGGTTCGCGTCTCCGCTCCTCCACCTGCAGCTGCTGGGTGACCTTGGGCCAGTCACACTTCTCAGCCTCACTCACCTCACAGAGTGTTTGTTGTGGGGGAGGAAGGGAAAGGAGAATGTTAGCCGCTTTGAGACTCCTTCGGGTAGTGATAAAGCAGGATATCAAATCCAAACTCTCCTTCTTCCAGCTGTGGAGGCACATCATAGTAAGCTCCTCCGTGAATTTGTCTGATCATATAGTCCTACAGGTTGGTGGCCATCACTGCCGCCTGTGGGTGCTGTGTGAAGAAGTATTTGCCGTATTTTTCGCTCTATAACACGCACCTGACCATAACACGCACGTAGTTTTTAGAGGAGGAAAACAAGAAAAAAAATATTCTAAATGAAACAGTGGATGTATGTTTTTTGTGGCTCATGCTGTGGCCACAGACATGTGATCTGACAGTGAGTTTGGAGTAGCCCAATGCAAAAATCCTGAGGATCCATGTGGATCCATGCTTTGTAACCACGTTTTTGCACCACTTTAAAGCATCCTTTAAAGCAAGCAGGCTCTGCTTTTCCCCCTCCTCCCCGCTCATCCCCGGCTTAGCGAGCTGAAAAACTTTGCTGCTATGTAGCGAGCTGAGTGGGGAGGAGAGAGGGACAGAGAGCCTGCTTGCTTTAAAGGAACCAACCGGACAGGAGCCGCTTACACTCATGTAAGCGGCTCCTCTCCTCTCCCGCTTTGCTCCTTTAAAGAAGCGGGGTCTCTGTCTCTCTCTCCTCCCCACTCAGCGGCTCTTCTCCCGCTTTGCTGTTTCAAAGCGAGCCACGGAGGAGGGAAGGAAGGGGAACCATGGATCCTCTGCTCACGACTGCAGCAGATCCCCCTGCCATCCGTAGGCATTCGCTCCATAACACGCACAGACATTTCCCCTTACTTTCTAGGAGGAAAAAAGTGAGTGTTATAGTGCAAAAAATACGGTATTTTTATCTTCCCTGAACCTTCCAACATTCAGTTTAATTGGATGTCCATGAGTTGTGCTGTTAGAGATGGATAAAAACTCTTCCCTATCCACTTTTCCATGCCATGGATAATTTTATAAACTTCTGTAATGTCACCTTATACACAGATTCAGAATTCAAAATGACCATAACAGATTGGAGAACTGGGCCCAAAGTAAGTTTCAATAGGTACAAACAATAGGAGTCAAACTTACAAGAAAGAAGATTCCGACTAAACATCAGGAAGAACTTTCGGACAGTAAGAGCTGTTTGACAGTGGACCGGACTCCCTCAGGACCTTGTGAGCTCTCCTTCCTTAGAGGTTTTTTTGCAGAGGTTGGATAGCCATCTGTAAGGGGGTTGTGCTAGATGACCCTTGGGGTCCCTTTCTAACTCAACACAATTCTGATTCTATGAACATTTGGTAATCACATGTGCAGCTGATGGTCCCAAACTGCCAAGCGAAGGCTCTGATGAGTATTAAGATTGCCTTTGCTGATGTATTGCAGAAACAACAGTGAAAATTATATTTCATTAGGTACATGCACAATTCCTTTAGCCCCTTATAAGCATATTCTTTCTTGTATTTATCCTGTCCTCGGACCATTAGGACAGCGTGGAGTTAAGACTGGCACTATGCTCTCAAGTTTATTTTTCACAGCCATAAGAACCAGAAACACAGTTTAAGAAACAAAGCAACAACTACCGGTAAATGTGAAAGCTGAGCTTTCACAATTATGAATTCCACATCTGCTACGGTTACCCAAATGATATTCAGTACAATACAGCAGTTCAGGAGAAAGTAAAGTAAAATAAATAAATAGATAAATAAATAAATAAGAAAAAGTCAATGAAAAATAACTGCTTTAGAATGCAAACAGTTTTGTTTCTGTTTTTAAGGGTGGTTTAAATTGCCTGCATTCATCCCATTAAAGTTTCTTCATGAAAACAGTGTAAGCACTGAGAAAACTAAGACGACTCAGACTTCAAGGTCAAGTGTTGGCAGGAAAAACAAAGCAATTTTTAAAAAGAAAAAAATGCTTTGCATATTACAAATGTATACAGTTAAAATTACAAACAAGTCACATCACAGAAAACACAAAGCAAAGAAGAATTTGCAGGGGCATGATAATAGCATCAGTAGAGATATAATGTGGAAAATTGCTTTCTTTCTTTTTTGCAAAGGCAAAAGAAAAACTTGGATAAGCCCAGTTCAAAAGCAAAGGTTGTAAGGCTTGGAGTGGGAAAGATTAACTGTAAGCTAATTTATTGCAAAGGCCATTGTGGCAATCATGATGGGTACAAAGATTTTAGACTACAAGAGGAAAAGAGAAGTTAGCTTTTAAGTCATTTAATTCACACTTCCTGAATATATTAGCGAGAATTGTGAGGTTTATATAAGGCACTTAGCTAATTTTAACTGCACAATCCAAAGAAAGATGCTACACAATGAAAACTGTCTAATTCCTTCCTACAAGAAGCCTTCAGTATTTTGTTATATGGTTGTTTCAATTGAACTAATTACAATCCAATAGATATATTTATGTGATTGCAATCACAATTTGTTATAACAAAATGTAATTTTTAAAAATATGAATTGTAAATTCTGAGGATCGTAGTCTATACATTTGAGAATTCTACAATGGTCCCCATCACTTGATTTAAATGTTGTCACTATGTATTATTACATATTAAGAAAAGATAAAAGCGCTATTCAGTTTGTTAATGGTTCAGAAACTTGAAGGCAGAAGGTAAATGTGGAAAGACTAGAAGCAGGGACCCAAAAATGAGATGCTTAAGGGACACTTTTGACTAAATGGCATTCTCCTGAAGAAACAGAGAATAGTAATGTCAGCATTTTTGTTGCATTGTTGTCACAGCTCGTGAGAAATGGGAAAAGGGGTGTGCTACCACAAAGCGTGCTGGTAGTCACATTACAGCCTTCAACTTATGCAAGACAATAGAATCAGAAATATTTATTAACCTGATCTACTTAGTGACATTTGCTTGTCTAGCCTTCCAAGTTCTATTATTAAACAAGAATTACAGCGGTAATACAACTACTGCAAGAGCCACTGTATTGCGGTTAAGGCTTACAGTCATACCTTGGGTTACAGATGCTTCAGGTTGTGTTTTTTCAGGTTGCGGACCGCCGAAACCCGAAAGTACCGGAATGGGTTTCTTCCGGGTTTTGGTGGTCACGCATGTGCAGAAGTGCTAAATTGTGCTTTGCACATGCACAGACGCTCCAAATCGCAACCCGCGCATGCGCCGACATGCTGCTGTGGGTTGCGGACGCTGCGGGTTGTGAATGTGCATTCCGCACAGATCATGTTCGCAACCCGAGCGTCCACTGTACAGGGAAATGATACATACAGTGGTACCTCGGGTTAAAGACTTAATTCGTTCTGGAGGTCCGTTCTTAACCTGAAACTGTTCTTAACCTGAGGTACCACTTTAGCTAATGGGGCCTCCTGCTGCCGCCGCGCCGCCAGAGCACGATTTCTGTTCTCATCCTGAAGCAAAGTTCTTAACCCAAGGTACTATTTCTGGGTTAGCAGCGTCTGTAACCCGAGGTACCACTGTAATGAAATGAAAAAGATGTTTAAAATAACATTCGTAAAAAACCAGAAGATTTTCTCTTGGGAATTACAGGGACAGAACTACCTAAACTGTACAGAAACTTATTCATGTATGTGACTACAGAAGTAAGAATGTTACTTGCCCCAAAATGGAAAGAAGTAGTATTCCCAGCAAAGGAAGAATGGATACAAAAACTTATAGAATATGTAGAAATGGCGAAACTTACTGGAAGAATAAGAAATCAAGATAACCTTTTTATAAAAGAATGGAAATGGTTTATTGAATATTTAGATAAATTGTAAACAGATAAAAACATTGTTAGGATTATTGTAATAGCCTATAGTTTCATAAAAGTATATATTTAAAGAAGATGAATAAATGAGCAAATTAAGTTAATTTGGATACGCAAAAGATATTAAAAATAAATTTAAGGAATCGCAGAAAGAGGGGGAAGGAAGTCAAGTTTTGAAATGTCAAAATGACTGTAAAATCAGTGAAATGTATAAATCTGAAAATTATAAATGACTTTTTAAAAAGAAAGAATGGCAGGGATAAGAAAAGGCTGATTTCCAGTTTCCACAGGCTGGAATTATACAGGTGGGAGCTGGCTGCTTTGTATCTTATATTTCTCTCTGTTGCTTTTTTGCACTGAAAACAAGGCATTTCAAGTGGCCAGGAATTAAAGTATCACTGAGAAGTTTAACAACATCCTCTTGCTTTTTAATTGTTTCGGTAGTATGTGGGCTATACTATTAGTTTTGGCTAACAGGTTTTTACATCTAGATACATCAGATCTCTGAAAAGAAACATCAAGAAGCATTGAAGTTGTAGCATACAAATGTCAACAACAGAAATCGCTATCTTGGACTTTTGTGAAGGGAGAACATTTATCTCTGGATCCTCAACAAAAGCAGCAGCAAACTTTAGCAACAAATGCCAGAACCACAATGTTCAAGCTGGTAAATAAGGAAAGTACAACTGTGCAAATTCTAGCTGCTGAGATGTGGAGTACACCTTGGGTATGAAATGAATGGTATCCTAGTTGCTTGGGAATGCCCTTTTTCATATGCACACAGCCAGGATCCTTCTAGTGCCTATGTTAAAAAAAGAACTTTCTTAAGTCTCAACTGAAAAATTGGGAAGGACAGTGACCAAAGATAACTCTCCTTGTTTAGATGTTATTTATAGGTAGCTGGGCAGACTGTGGAATTTGTGTAGCAGAAGGTAAGCCATATTGCATCAAGCACTGAGTCTATATAACCAGACACAATAAAGTCATCTCAGATTACTAAAGGAAACTGAAAAATAATGCAGCAATGCCACCAGCAAACTTCAACAGCAGATCTATCTTCCACTTCTCTGCAGCATTCCAACCAAGGTGCTCCAATATAAAGTACTTCAATGGTGACTTTGAAACTACAACTAATCCAGAACTGGTGACTGGGAGCACCTACCAGGACCATAGAACACCAGTCCTAAAAGATCTTCACTGGCTCCCAGCACATTTCCGAGCGCAATTCAAAGTGTTGGTGCTGACCTTGAAAGCCCTAAACGGCCTCGGTCCAGTAGACCTGAAGGAGCGTCTCCACCCCCATTGTCCCACCCAGACATTGAGATCCAGAGCCGAGGGTCTTCTGGTAGTTCCCTCGCTGCAAGAAGTGAGGTCATAGGGAACCAACCAGATGGATGAGGTATAAATAATAATTTGTTGCTGTTGTTGTTGTTGTCCCTATGGAACACCCTCCCTTCAGATGTCAAGGAAATAAACAACTATCTGACTTTTAGAAGACATCTGAAGGCAGCCCTGTATCAGGAAGCTTTTCATGTTTGATGTTTTAGTATGTTCTGTGTCAGGCCTGGTCGTTGTCCTCTTCAGATCACCACACAAACGCTTCTTGTTCTTTTATAAAACTTTTTATTGCGTATTAACAAAACAATCTTATAAACGGTTCTTAACTATTATTCCTCAGAGTCACTTCTTTCAGATACCTTCTGAGCTCTGCTTCTCCATGACCAGCCACCCTCAAAATGGCGAAGGCGCCTTTCCCTTCGCTTTCCTGCTCTTTTTCCTACCCTCCTGGCTAGAGCTGGCCTGTATCTCCCCTCCTCCCAATCTGAGCTAGAAGTGAACCCTTGCCTTTCCTGGGAACAGCCATTCCCTCCCTGTTGTTCCTCTTGCTCCCTTCTATTAGATTCACTGCTCTCCTCCCCCCTTGGGGAATGCTTTCTCCCTCTGAGAAACTGGAAACTTCTAACTCTTCCCTGACATCCTGCTATATGCTGTGAGCCACCCAGTGTGGCTGTGGAAACCCAGTCAGATGGGTGGCATTTTCCTTTTTTAAGCATATTATCGTACATACCACAAAATTTCACATCTTATACAATCTTTTTGGACTTCCATCAACACCTCTGATGATCCCCCATTTTTATTATTTCTTCTGCATTTCTTTATATTCATATTGCCTTTAATTATCTTGACTAACATCTTCCTTTTTGTCCAATTATGCAATAATTCAGATTATTCACCTCACAAAACTTCTTGCAAACCTGCAAATGTAATATGATCATCACAATTACTTTTCAAATAGTCCGTAAATTTACACCAATCTTCTGTGAATCTCTGGTCCTGCTGGTTTCGAATTCTTCTTGTTAATTTGTCTAATTCTGCATACTCCATCAATTTCATCCTCCAATCTTCTTTCGTCGGTAATTCTTCTTGCTTCCATTTTTGTGTTAACAATATTCTTGCTGCCGTCATTGCATATAAAAACAGCTTACAGTCTTTTCTATTTATATCATCTCCTACAATGCCCAGTAAATTTGCTTCTGGTTTCTTAATAAATGTATATTTCAACATTTTTTTCATCTCATTATATATCATTTCCCAGAAGTTTTTCACTTTTTTACATTCCCACCACATATGATAAAATGTTCCTTCTTTTTCTTTACATTTCCAACATTTATTGCTTACCTTATACATTTTAGCCAATTTAGAGGTGTAATATACCATCTATACATCATTTTCATCACATTTTCTTTTAAAGCATTGCATGCAGAAAATTTTAAACCTTCCTTCCATAATTTTTCCCAATCGTTCAGCTGTATATTATACCCAATATATTTAGCCCAATGAATCATAACAGACTTTACCTCCTCATCCTTCAAATGCCAATCAAGCAGCAATTTATACATTTTAGACAAAGTTTTATATTTATTACTTAATATCTCAACTTCAAACTTTGATTTATTTTCATCAAATCCTTTTACTTTAAAATCCTGTTTAAACATTTCATTAACCTGACGATAGTGTAGCCAATCGTTTACATATTCTTTGACTTCCTCATATGGTTTCAACTTCCATTTACTAGATGGATGGCATTTTCCAGCTGCACTGACTCCCGGTGGACTACAGGGTCAGATTTAAGGTGCTGCTTTTGACCTTTAAAGCCCTTCACGGCCTAGGACCCTCGTACCTACGGAACCGCCTCTCCCGGTCTGCCCCACGGAGAGCCTCAAGGTCCATAAATAGCAACACCCTAGTGGTCCTGGGCCCTAAAGAAGTTAGATTAGCTTCAACCAGAGCCAGGGCCTTCTCAACACTGGCTCCTGCCTGGTGGAACGCTCTGTCTCATGAGACCAGGGCCCTGCGGGATCTGATTTCTTTCTGCAGGGCCTGTAAGACAGAGTTGTTCCACCTGGCCTTTGGCTTGGAGTCAATTGATTCCCTCCCCCTCTTTCCTTTTTCCTTTCTCCTCCTGTGATGAGGCTGCATTTTAATGTTTCAATGTTGTGTTTAATCTTCTTTTTAAGTTGTATTCATTCCACTTGTTTTTATTATTGCTTGTTAGCTGCCCTGAGCTGGGGAGGGCAGGGTATAAATAAATTTTCTTCTTCTTCTTCTTCTTCTTCTTCTTCTTCTAGTAATAAAATCATCATCTTCAAGGTTGTGGAAGGTGTTTCAACTACAGATATTAGTAAGCTTCATTCTTTTTTTAAAAGATGCATATCCCCTTTTGTAGGGCATATGTTAAAGACAGCAGGACAAGTCATAAATTCCCCGGTTTTAACAAGATTGCCAGTCTTCTGAATAGACATGTAAGCAGAACACTATGAGAAATAGTTTTAAAATTCACAGCTACCTTCTACTTACTCTTCCTCACATTTCTGGTTTGTATTCATTAGTATGCAAAAGCAAACAAATGAAAAGATACCGTATTTTGTATTCCTGAGAGCATTCTGGCATCTTTAACCATTTTAATAGTTTGGGGAGGCACCAGGCAAACTTCAAAACTGTTCTAGGCTTCAGCACTGAAAGAAAACTTGATGTTGCTAAGCAATGTCCTTTTTGAGGGGGGAGGGGGGAGAGCTTTCCTTCCAAATTTGCTATTCCATTAAGGGAGTATGACATCACAACTGGAAAGGGAAATGTTTCAACGATAAAGGCAGCCCAGAAATGTTAATGTACTTGGAATGCAAGCAGGCATGGCCAGAAGTGCTCTGTCTGAGCAGCTCTAAGAGGAGTGCAGACATTTCCCAAGGGCTACGTAAAGTCATTCATTACCTATAGCTTGTCAAACAGGAATCTATGATAAAGCAAAAGGATAATTATTTTAATGGTAATGAAGCATGAAATATTGTAATTATGAAACCGAGGCACAACACCCACTTCCTGTTTGACCTATGCTTCCTACTCTAGACTTCTCTCTCTCTCTCTCTCTCTCTCTCTCTCTCACACACACACACACACACACACACACACACTGGATACATGCATTGCTTTACATTAATAAGGAAGTATGTTTAATTTTCTTTTTAAAAATCAGTGTATGTTTTTCTTTCTGTAGCTCTTCTGTTTATGCTAAGGCTATTCTAAATCGTTATATTTGTAAATTATAGGAAGAGTAGAACTTCACCCTCCACTTTATTTTTTTTAAAAAAACCACACACAGAGACACAAAGACAGGAAGATGGATGAAAATGTACAGATTTATTGCAGTTAACACTACAAATCTGAGAAAGAATATATATTTGAAGATCACACATCATTTCAGACAAGGACTACAATCTCTAGACTCTAGGGCAGTGTTTTCCCCTTTGAGAGACTTGTCTTCCTGGTGTAACACTGGGGGTAGTTTTAATAATACTATTTTATCCTTGAATTGTTTTCTTTAGCTAAAAACTAGGAAAAATTACAGAGTGTACCATCTGAAACCCTTTCAAACGGTACCACACTGTGGAATGGCCTTCTTTTATTTCACACACAGCGAATACTGTAATACACTTTTCAGACAAGTATCATCACAAACTTGGTATATCTTGCAATTGACTTGAATGTCATACATAATCCTTTTTCTTATGTTAACCCTGCTGTGTTCCTTATATTACCTTACTTACTTACTGCTATATTCATATCCCATACTAGGGGCTGCCACCCCTACTCGCTGCATTCACACCACATCTTGCCCTGCATGTGGCCAACCCCTTTCCCTTTTACATGCATGTGTGACCAAGGCAGACAATGCCTAGTACCTAAAGGATGACAAAGATAGTACTAGGTGGGTATGTCTAGGGAGGGTGTCCTACAATTTGGGAAACACCACAGAAAAGGTGCTTTCTCCAGTAGCCACCAGCATAACCTCTGAAGAAGTCACAATGCTCTTGTAAGCCAATGCAGCTTTCAGAAAAGTAGAACCAAAATTCTAAAGTCAGGTGCAAAGGTAAGGATGAAGACAAAAAGTACTGAACACCTGAATGGGGCTATTTTAGAAGCACTTGATTCTCCCCCCCCCATGCCATGCATGTGCCCAGCAAAGACCAAACCCAGTCTATCTGCACAGAAGTAGTGATGGATATGGAGGCATGCCAAACACCTGCTCTAATCACATAATATGAAGTCGGCATAGCTTCTTCTATGCCACAATCCTCCTTATTTGGGCCATTTCTCTTGTACTTCAAGTTTGGTGCCAGCATGTCAAGCCTGGAATGAAAGATGTTCCTGAGCAGATGCAGCCAGGGCCACTGAAGAGCCTGCCTGCTATACTGTTCTCATGCCCTGCTTTGTGCAGTAGTGCTGAAAAGTGAAAGTGACTCAAGTCTCAGCAGAGCTCAACTGCAGGATAAACAAGAACTGTAAAGGATTGGTAGGTAAGATATGTGCACATGATAAGACACATGCTTATTAAGCATACAGTAAGTCATATGACAAAAGCGGTTTCTTACCTGATGACATCTGCAATAGAACATCTCAGTTTCTAAATACAAACAGAAAACTGCCTTGTTCTTTTTTTTAAAGTACAGTGGTGCCCCGCAAGACGAATGCCTCGCAAGACGAAAAACTCACTAGACGAAAGAGTTTTCCGTTTTTTGAGTCATTCCACAAGACGAATTTCCCTACGGGCTTGCTTCGCAAGACGAAATGTCTTGCGAGTTTGTTTCCTTTTTCTTAAAGCCGCTAAGCCGTTAATAGCCGCTAAGCCGCTAATAGCCGTGCTTCGCAAGACGAAGAGACTTGTGGAACGGATTAATTTTGTCTTGCGAGGCACCACTGTAATACTATAGTTCAGAGTAAGTCTTAAACTTGCCTCATGGCTACATTTTTGCTTTCAAGAAAGCCAGGTGTAAAGCATTAAAACTCAAATTCAAAAGGGGAGTGTACTAAAAGAGGAAACACTAAGATATTGTGCACTGGTGCTCTATCAGTCATGGAATCATAGCAAGAAACTGAGGCATACACAGAAAAGAGAACTTGGTTGTATTCATATATTTTAACATGTCCCCTCTCACCACTGTAACACAAATCCATTATATGTTCTTTTGGATTATTCGAATAGTGAAGTACAGGCGCAATATTATATTTTAGTTGGAAAATTAAAAACAGAAGCAAAAATAAATAAAAATTAATTACAACCAAATGGCTTATACCAGGGGTCAGCAAACTAAGGTCCGTGGGCTGGACAAGGTCCGAGGGGCTCTTTAATACAGCCTGAGGACCCTGCTGCCCACCTGGTCAGTCCCCACACTAAATTGGCATTGCGCAGCGACGCCTCACTGCACGGGGACTAACGTCCGCGACAGGCACACAGGCAGCTTCGGATTGGCTCCAGGAAGTTCCCACAGCCAATTCAAAGCCACAGATGCCTCTGGGCAGGTGGCGACGGTGGCCAATCCGAAGCTGCGCCGGGTTTCCTCAGCGCGTGGGCGGCAAGGCTTCAGATTGGCCAGCATCGCGGCCATGGGCAGAGAGGCTGGTGGGTGTGTTGCGGGGATTCGGCCGGAGCTTGGAACGCCTGCTGACCCCACGCCAGGTGCCTGGGAAAGCTCTCCCAGAAACAAGAGGCACCACCACCATCGTCGGCTCCCAACCACTGCTGGAGGAGGTACGAAAGCAGGAGGAGGGACTGGGGGGGAGAGAGCAGCCCCCCTCCGTCCGTGTGTGTGCACATGCATGCGTGTGTGGTCCGGCCCGCCAGAAGACTTGAGGGACAGTAAGCTGGCCTGCTGGTAGAAAAGTTTGCTGATCCCTGGCATATACCAATTAATACCCAATGAAAGAGTAGCAGTGGTGATGCCCAAATTTACAGAATTTATATGGTTAAGTGATGGTAAAAGAGAAGACAGCCATTTGAAATGCTTTAGTCTCCCTATGCTATACTAGATTCAGTACGTAGCCGTGTTGGTCTGACACAGTCGAAATAAAAATTTTTAAATTGTCTAGTAGCACCTTATAGACCAGGGACATGGGTGGCGCTTTGGGTTAAACCACAGAGCCTAGGACTTGCCGATCAGAAGGTCGGCAGTTCGAATCCCCGCGACGGGGTGAGCTCCCATTGCTCAGTCCCTGCTCCTGCCAACCTAGCAGTTCAAAAGCAAGTGCAAGTAGTTAAATAGGTACTGCTCCAATGGGAAGGTAAACGGCGTTTCTGTGCGCTGCTCTGGTTCGCCAGAAGCGGCTTAGTCCTGCTGGCCACATGACCTGGAAGCTGTACGCCGGCTCCCTCGGCCAATAAAGTGAGATGAGCGCTGCAACCCCAGAGTTGGCCACGACTGGACCTAATGGTCAGGGGTCCCTTTACCTTATAGACCAACTAATTTTGTTCTGGTATAAGCTTTGCATGCACAGGAAAGCTTATACCAGAACAAACTTAGTCTATACTTTTTTTACTTTTTTATTTTTATTTATACTATACTAGTTATATAAAGCCCCCCCATGGAATTGTTCAGAGCTTTATGCTCTGCAGAAATAAATGAAAAATACTTTTAACATGTTTTAAAATCTGCTCCATCTGTGGCCTTTGCGCACGCATGCGCGCACACCCACACACCCCGTGTTTCAACTTTAGTTAAATATCAATGGTGTTCTTTCTTCTTTATTTGCGATATGTAGATTGGATTGCATCCAACAAAGGTGCCCATTAGCACCAGGTGTTACACCTGCACAAACAGGACCTCCTCTTCCTCTCCTCTATCCCAATTTTTATTTTCACCACCGGCTAAAACACTCCACCTTTCTCGTTAAATGCCAATGCCTGAAACTGACCTTTCCCGTAGCAATGTGGTTTAGGTGTGTGATCAAACTGGACTACTGCCTGCAGTGTACAAATATTTCTCTTTCAAGCCCTGCCATTAAGGTATGCAGCTATAGACCAATGACATAACACTATCCCGCATGGAATGTCATAATACAAGAACACCCCTACAACTGCATCTATTCATGGTCAAAAACATGGTTGCCCAATAAGTAAATAACTTCAGAGGGTGGAATCAGCAACAGACTAACACATTTCCAGAGCAGCAAATGTCAGAAAGTAGAATATCCACCATTTATAAAGACTCTCTACATATCTTCAACATGAATGTAGAAATTATTGGGAAGCTGCCCTCATGCAATTGTAGAAACAACAGTTCTATAGTAAAAAGTACTATTAAAACTGTTAAATAAAAATATTACTCATTTAATGTTTGCAGGCTTAGGCAATTCTAAATCTTATTGAAAGCACTGGTATTAATACGAACAGTTAAAGCCCTTAGGCTACATTTCCAAGGACATATATTTCAAAGTACCAGTAAATGCCAACAGGTCACACTATCAAACAAATATAATCACAACAGAAGGATCAGTCATATTGACCACCATACACATCAGGCACACACAAAGAAAAGAGAATTCAGATGACAACAAAGCTATTTATTCAACAGTACACCCATACCGCCCTGCTTGTACCTTAAGCTCTGCTTTGGAGGTTCTCTTTGTGTGCCCACCCATTACATCAGAAAGTTGTGTGGCCATGACGGAGAGATCTTTCTGTATGGTGTTTCCACCGCTGTGGAATTCCCTTCCACTGGACCTGCACCCAATCTCTTTGCTGCAAGCTTTTCGGAAGGCCCTGAAAAATTTTCTTCAACTGGTTTTCCAGGCATGATGCCCATTCATTGGGTAAGGTTTTTTAATGTCTAGTGTTCTGAATTTGGTGTGTTTTAAATATTATAGTGTTTCTATCAATTGTTTTTATTACTTGGGGAATAATTGCTTGGGGAAATTGTTTGCTCAGAAAAGAAGCTTAAAATATTTGCATTGTTATCATCTTACAGTATCCTGAAGTTCATTGCTCAATGAGTATTTGAGGCTATTTAGTTGAGAAAAATGGTAAATAAAAAGAGCTTGAGACAGACGTTCATGAAATATCACATGATATTATATCACTTGCATAGCAGCTTCTTGTGCCTGTAACTGGTTACTCCGATTCTGCCAACTGGGAAACTCAGGTACCAGAGACAGTAGGAATGAAATTAAACCCAGGAATTTGGGCCTGTACTGCAGTCCCTATTGAAACTCATCCACCCATAGGTGGCATATTGGGAGAAGCAAGGTAGAGGGCCTGACATGAATTTAACCAGAGAGGGCTTTCTCATTTCTGGCACCTTGCTTATATGCTGCCTTCCCCATTAAGGCTCACCTGGCATCAAAACAGATGCTCTTCCAGTGCAGGTAGAAACTTGATTTACCTAGACTTTTCAGCATCTGATTATTTTTCTAGGCTGCTACTGGCTTTTATTTGTTCTGCCGTTATTAATTTACATTGTATTTATTACCATTGCAAGCTAGTTTTGTTTAAGCATGTAAACAAACTCAGAACTCTGCTTGTTTAAAAAATCCTCCTTGTTTTCAAAATAAAATTGGTAAGGTTCAACATTCCCTAGTCCACACCCAAACAAGAACTTCTACCTTAAACTCCGTCGCAGTAGTAACTTCAGCCAGCCAACACTTCATAAGGGATGGTTACAGTGATGAGTATTTAAATTACACTTGAAAGATGCTGCTTTCTATGCATTGTGGGTCCTGCCTGACTAGAGAGATCAGTCCAATTAAGCCATGCAGAACAGGAACAGCAACCTGGGGCTGCAGTTCTGTGGTCACACACTTGGAAGCCAGTTCCATTGAACCCAAACATGGACAGGCCTGGATTACAGTGCATTTTAAATAGTTTGTTGGAATCTGCCCAGAGCGGCTGGGAAACCCAGCCAGGGGGGCGGGGTATAAATAAGTCATTATTAATGTCAGACAATTATTAGCCGCTCTTCCTACCGCACACCTCCAGTCACACTTTCTCAACTCAGCTTCGGGGGGGGGGGGGGGGGGGCTCTGGCCCTCGGGCTGCTGGTGGCTTCAGCTTCTGCCCGTCTGGTCAGTGTTCCTTGGACCACCTGGAGGGCCGGAGGCAGGGAGAGAAAGGGGGCGACCTGGCGCCAGGCCCATTCGGCGTCGCGGGGCGCCTACCTTGCGCCGGGCGCTGGCGTCGTGCCTGTCGTTGCGGAAGGCCTGCGCGTTCTGGTGGCGCTGCGGCCTCGTGCGCGCCACGTTCCCCCGCTGGCAGCTCATGCTCCGGCCGGAAGTGACGCCGGCCCGCTTCCGCCGCTCGGCGCCCCGCGACGCCGAATGGGCCGCGCGCCGCAGTGTCTCCTGAGCGCCCGCATTGGCCCGGGGACGCCGGCGCGAGGCCGCGGATTGGCTGCGCCCGCGCAGAGCCCGCCCTCCCCTCGGCATCCCGCGAGGGCGACGCGGAGGCGAGGGCGCCGCTCCATTGGTCGCTGCTCGGGCTGCCTCGCTCTCCCCGCCGCTCCGGCCCGAGTCCAGCCTCGCCTCACCCAGCCCGCCCGACGGCCCTCCTCATCCCGACGCCGGGCGGCTCCCCGGGCTGCCCTGAGGGAGCGAGCGCGGCGCCCCGCCGGAGAGGCCCCTGAGGCGGAGCGGCCAGGTGAGAAGCGGGGGAGTGCGCGCGCAGCCGAGACCCCCGCCGCCCCCTCGCGGCCCCCCTCGCGGCCCCCCTCGGCCCTCGGAGGAGCCCGGAGCCCACAAGGAGCGGCGCCCGGGGGGGGGTCGTCGAATCCGGGAGAAGCCGAGGCGGGCCGGGGCCTCGTTCGGCTGCCCGGCGGCCGGTCTCGGCTTCCCCCTCGGGGCGGGAGCAGGAAGAGCCGCGGAGGGCCGCCTCCATGGCTGCTGGGAGCTCGCCTTCCTGCCCCCTCTCCGCTCCAGGGCCCTTCTCTGCCCTGAGGGCTCTCAAGACTCGGCAGCCTGGAGCGGAGCTGGAATTATGACAGACGTGTAAACAAGCATCTTTTGCTGCTTCCACTTCTCCCCTAAAATGAGTTGAAAAACATGTTAGTGTGTCATTGCTGCTGAGGCTGTGAGAGTCCCCGAGTCTTGTGATGGTGCAAAGAGGTACCAGTCTGGGATGCACACAATGTAGGATTTCAGCTGTTATGAATGGGCAGATTGTGTGCTTTTTTTTGCTTTTTTTAAACAGAAAGTGCTATAGTGTAGTTCTTTGGCATGTGAAAATGTCGAGTTGGGATTAGTTGCAGTATCATTCTGTTTCATTGATTTTTCTTGGTAACTTCATTCTTTCCTTGGGGAGAAAAACTTTGCTTACTTGAAACAGATCAGGTGTTCTTTAGGACTTTGAACTAGACTTCTTGTGACACAAATCAGGAAAATGTTTCTTAATATTACTTGCCGTTAATTTATACAGGAAGTATGTGTGTTAGTTCCCAGTTGCAATATACAGTGGTACCTCGGGTTAAGTACTTAATTCGTTCCGGAGGTCTGTTCTTAACCTGAAACTGTCCTTAACCTGAAGCACCACTTTAGCTAATGGGGCCTCCCGCCGCTGCCACCGCCGCCGGAGCACGAATTCTGTTCTCTCCTGAAGCAAAGTTCTTAACCCGAGGTACTATTTATGGGTTAGCAGAGTCTGTAACCTGAAGCTTATGTAACCTGAAGGGTATGTAACCTGAGATACCACTGTACTTGCCATTTGGGGGCGGGGGGAGATAACTTTTTCCAATTGTGGGTTTCAAAAAATCAAACATTCATATAATGCTAACTGGACTACTGCAATGCACTCTACACAGGGCTACCTTTGAAGGTGACACAGAAACTACAACTACTCTAGAATGTGGCAGCTAGACTGGGGACTGGGAGTGGCCGCCGAGACCATATAACACCAGTCCTGAAATACCTACTTTGGCTCCCTGTACGTTTCTGAGCACAATTCAAAGTGTTGGTGCTGACTTTTAAAGCCCTAAATGGCCTTGGCCCTGTATATATCGTTCAGCCCAGACACCAAGGGCCTTCTGGCAGTTCCCTCACAGAGCGAAGTGAAGCTACAGAGAACCAGGCAGAGGGTCTTGTCGATAGTGGCGCCCGCCCTGTGGAACGCCTTCCCATCAGATGGTCAACAAGATTAGTAACTATAAAGCCTTTAGAAGAAATCTGAAGGCAGCCCTGTATAGGGATGTTTTTAAACATTTAATGTTTTATTATGTTTTTATCTATGTTGGAAGCCATCTAGAGTGGCTGGGGCAACCCAGTCAGATGGGTGGGAGACAAATAAAATTATTTATTTATTTATTTTCCCTTAAATTTGGTCCATCCACTGCTTGTCAATCTAGTAAGCTAAATTGTACACCATAGTTCCCACTCCATTGTGTATTTATTTAATAGGTCTATTTCATTCTTTTTGACAGGAATTGTCAAAGTAGCTTACATTTATAAAACCCAACAGATACACAAAAAATCATGTGCTCGGAAATGCAGGAGCAAGCATCAGATATTTCTTCCCATAGGGTAGTTGTTATAAGTTGGCTGGGAATGGGGAGTCTGGGGCCCAGTCCACCTGGACCATGCCCTTACAATATCTTGCCTGCCTTTCTCACTCCCTTTCCACAGCTGGCCCTGTGGGATTGGGGGAGAAGGGTATAGTTCAGCTCATGTCTATGGTTTAAGATATTCTCATCCAGACATTCTTTCTTTTACGCACCTTTTATAATACTTTACCCCCCGACTACATTTGCTTTTTCAAAGTAGGACTCTTGCTTTATTTGACTTCTAAATCAGAGCTGCCCTAAATCTTTTGTTGAGTTTGTCCCAAACAACTACTGTTGGTAGCTATAACCTGTGTTCCTAATGTTGTATATTGATAATTGATTGATTGTAGTGCTTAAGAAACCTAGCTAAAAGGAAATAGTGCAGTGGGTAGAAGGAAATAATGTGCTAGCTGCTTTATTAAACCGTATGGAAATCTCAGTATGGTAGATTCTGGTGTATTATTCTTATTGAAGAATACTCTTTAAAAGTAATATTACAGATTATGTTCATGTTTATTCTGCAAATGGTGCTAGGCAGAAGAAACATTTTGAAATTGACCTTGTTAAGACTTGACTTCATCAGCTCCTAATGAAACTGAAGTTTAACAAAGATGCATGGAAACATTACATAAAATATGGCTTTGTCACCACTTTTGAGTTTCCCATTAACTTCTGCTGAACAGATCAAATAGAGATAACATCTCTGAACTTAAATGACATTAGGCAGGATAAAATTTCACTATTTATGGGCTGTCCTTTGCTGCTGCCATGCTGGCTTCGAAAAAGAATGGCAGAACACAACAGCTTTTCTCTGCTTTTGGATAGAATGGTTGGGGTGATTTATAACATAGAACACAACTACTTTTTAATATGATCATGAGACATCCAGAAAGTATAAAACAATACAGTTACATAAGAACAAGAATCATTTCCCAAATATAATTATAAATGAACCTCTTACATACGAACCTTAAGTATGTATTCAAACTCAAAGAGAGTGGGTAATCTCATATACATTAAGTCTCATTTGAGACAAACAAACTCTCATCTCCTTCTCTGATCTTTCATATTTGTCAGTTTAAAATCCCTGTTCACAACAGTATGTCGTGGTGAACTGTAGAAAAATAGCCAATGCTATTCTCCATAACTGCGTTCAACCAGTGTTTCTGGATCACAACTAGGATTGTCCTCAGTATCAGCTGATGCTCTTGCTCTCGTTTTGAAAAGATACCCAGTGCTTCATTTTTGGGGGGGAAAGGGTGCCAGTACTCACCATGAAGTTATTACAGTAAGTACCACACTTTTAACATTTTGGGGAGGAAGGGTACCAGTACTGTTTACCCTTGAGTACCCCAGGGGGAAAAGCACTGAATATACCTATCCGTATTCTGCAAATTATTTTTTTATACTACTGTATACTGCACTAAAATGTTTAAATGTTTATTTGATTGTCCTTGAATCTTTCCACCACACTTGCCATCCTCTCTTGCCACACCCATGTGCCACTTTGAGAACCACTGTTCTATGCTATCCCCATCACTTTATTTCTCTGTATTTTCCATAACATATATATGTGATAATACATATTAGCTGATGTATAGTATGCTATTGCTTAACACTTGGCCAAATAATTCCTAGAAAGACTTCTGAGAAAGTGTATTAGTTTCTTTGAATGTAGCCTGTATAAATTGCTTCCTGTAGTCTGCCAGATAATTCTGTCATAAGAATTCCTATTCTGAGAGATTGTGTGCACTTTCAGAACTTTTGCTATGACTTCCAATCAGAACAATTTGCAAATGGAGAACCAAACAATCTTACAAAACCTACAATGAAAACAGGACCAGCAAAAAATACCACTGTTCCTCAGACCTTGTGGGGGGCTGGACTATATTGGGGGGATGAACAAATTCCTATGCCCCACAAATAACCCAGAGATGCATTTTAAATAAAAGGACACATTCTACTCATGTAAAAGCACACTGATTCCCAGACCGTCCGCGGGCCGGATTTAGAAGGCGAATGGGCTATATCCGGCCCCCGGGCCTTAGACTGCCTACCCATGCTCTAATGCCTGGGAGAGTCAGGCTAGGCACCAGGCAAGCAACCTGGGGGGAGCACATTCCAGAGTGAAGATGCAGTTACTGTAAAGCCCTTTCTCTGGCCATCTTCGTGAGCTCAGATTTGAAGGCACGTGGTGAAGTTTCTCTAGCAGTGGTGTCCAAACGTTTTTCAAAGAGAGCCAGATTTGATGAAGTGAAGGGCCCAAAGGGCCGACCAAAGTTGTTAACCTTTTTTTAGGATTGAAGATTTTTTTAAAAGGATTTTAGCCCAGGAAATAAACTGCCACAGGGGCCGGATTAAACTGACCAGCGGGCCGGATTAGGGCCCTTGAAACGGACTTTGGACATGCCTGCTCTGTAGAGATGATGCTGTGAATTGCAGCAACCCTTTAAGAGACACCTCAAACCATTTTTAATGAGCAAGTAGGATTAGTATATAATGTATAGATGCCTGGATGTGAACTTTATGCAGGTCTGAATTGCGGAGTACACTAGCCACTTGGAACAGTGTCTTTCAGAGATGTGGAAAGGGGGAATTGGCTGAGGATCCGTCACTGGACCTTTGTGGTGACACATAAACTTATCTGGAAACTTGTAATATTTCTTTCCCTGTTTGCAAGGAGCCTAAGCTCTATCTGGGGCTCTCCATTCCGCCTTGGGGTAGGCAATGGAGGCAGGCTTAGTGCTCACAGAAACAGCTTTGGTTGTTCCCAAGGGTCCCATAGGTGATGGGGGGGTGGCTCTTCTCTAGCAATTGCAGCACCTGAGAAGCCTTTTTAATAAAGGTGGAAAAACTTCAGCAGCGAACTCTCTATGGTTGGTTCCTCCGAGGGAATCATTAATCTCTGAGGAGAAAAAGCCTTTCATCCACGAAAGCAGTCTTGTGAGATTTTTTGAACTAAGGAAGGCCTCAGAACCAGAGAGATGGTTCCCCCTACTTACTGCCACCTGTTCTGGTGAGAATCTTGGAGAATCACCCAAGGCTGTGTGCCTGCAGTCTCCTCCTCTGCAGCAACATTGCGAGGAGCAAGGCTGCCCTGTGGAGGCAAAATCGTCCTGCATGGAGATGCAGTTGAAGGCAGGAATGCGACTTAGGACACAGCAGTCACGGCTCAAATCTCCCAGTTGGTGCTGAGACCGAAAGTGCAGAGAGTGGGAAAGCACTAGACCAACAGCAATCACATATCTAGGAGCTTTTGGGCTCTCCTGAAGAAATGCTGAGTTGCTGAAACAAAATGGCAGACAACAGAGCAAGCAGGTGGGGAACATGACGAGAATGAAATAGAAATGAAGAAGCTAGGGGGGACAGCTAACAGGAAAACACAGTGAAAAAACTCATTCAGAATGATGATCTAGCAAACAGGATGGAGAGGACTAGACAAGGGAAAATCCACAAAAAACAAATGTTTCTTTCCCAACAGAGAGAGAGACACAAAGATGCAACCATCCCTTGCAGCAGGCAGGGTCAGTCTGGAGAAATGGGAGGGCTCCTCCCCTCTGGAAAGGACATGGCAAGCTGAAGACCCTGCCTGTCTCCAGTCGGGAGGGTCATCCTATCAGGAATGGCACCCCCCTCCATCTGGTAAACATTGCCGTGCGCCAGCCAGATAGTGGAGATGTCAGTTGCCAAATGTGACAACAAGACATCTTCACTTGGTCACAGTTAGACCCGTGCTAGTCATGAAACGCACCTGGTGCCTGGGGAATTTCGAACACTGTGCCTGGTACCTTCCCATCAGTGAGGATTTGTGGATTCTTTTATTAAAAAAAATAAATTTTTATTAGTTTTACGTAAAGTTATACACAATAACCGTAACCATTCCAAAACATGAAAATAAAAAAGGTTTTTCGAACCTTCAGACCTCCCTCCCTCCCTCCATGGATTCCATTTCAAAAGGTTTATTCTTTTTTTCCTGCATCTTTTACCGTTATCCATCTATTACATAATCATAGTAACCAAAGTTCATTTCACTTTACAAGTGTCATTAATAATAATAATAATAAAATAATATTCCTGCCAATGATTTCAACTGTCTACAGTGGTCTTTTAAATATATTTAAAAATTATTCCAGTCTTTTAAGAATACTTGGTCTTCCTTGTTTCTGATTTCCCCCGTCAGTCTTGCTATTTCTGCGTATTCCATCAGTTTGGTCTGCCACTCTTCTCTGGTCGGTACTTCTCCTTCTTTCAATCTCTGGGCTAGAAGCATCCTTGCTGCCGTTGTTGCATACATGAACGGTCTTTTATTTTGTTTTGGTAGTTCCTCACCTATTATACCTATCAAAAAAGCCTCTGGTTTTTTAACAAAAGTTTTCTTAAACATTTTCTTTTACTCATTATATATCATTTCCCAGAACACCTTTACCATTCCACAGGACCGCCACATATGATAAAAGGTACCTTCTTTCCTTTTACATTTCCAGCACAAATTTGAGCTGGTTCTATACATTTTCGCAATTTTAATTGGAGTCAGATACCAACAGTACAGCATTTTCATATAGTTTTCTTTCAACGTACAGCAAGCTGTAAACTTCAATCCTCTTTCCATAACTTTTCCCATGATGAAAGTTGTAGATTATAACCAAAATCTCTTGCCCAATGTATCATCACTGATTTAACTTCTTCATCTTTAGTAAACCATTCCAAAAGTAATTTATACATTTTTGAAAATAATTTCACATTATTTTCCCAACAGATCCCTTTCAAACCTTGACAAACCTTTTTTTCTACAGTGGTACCTCGGGTTACATACGCTTCAGGTTACAGACTCCGCTAACCCAGAAATAGTACCTCAGGTTAAGAACTTTGCTTCAGGATGAGAACAGGAAATCATGCGGCGGCAGCAGGAGGCCCCATTAGCTAAAGTGGTACCTCAGGTTAAGAACTGTTTCAGGTTAAGCACGGACCTCTGAAACGAATTAAGTACTTAACCCGAGTTACCACTGTAATTTGAAAACATCATTTAATTGATGATATTGTAACCAATATGTTAATAACTTTCTAATGTCATCAAAAATTTTCAATTTTAATTGGTCTTCCACTTCTATTAGCAATTCTTTTAAGTTGCCTAACCACCTCTCATATTTAATTTTTTAACCGATATTGTTTCAAATGGGGAGAGCCACCATGGTGTCCTCCACTCTAATAGATTTTTATACCTCTCCCATACCTTGTAGATTGATTTTCTTATCAAGTTCAGGAATCCCTTATACACTCTTGTTTTTCCATACCATCAATATGCATGCCACCCATACCTGTTATCATGACCTATATCTGTATTTTTAACACTATCCAATCCCAAAGCCAGCATAGGCAAGACGCTTCATAATATAACTTCAAGTCTGGCAGGGAGAAGCCACCTCTTTCTTTAGAGTCTATCAACAACTTATATTTAATCCTTGGTTTTTTCTCATGCCAGATAAATTTAGATATCATTTTTTGCCATTCTTTAAAGTGGCCTGCCCTACTGATCACAGGTATTGATTGAAACAGAAATAACATTCTTGGTAGCACATTCATTTTTATAACCGATATCCTTCCCCAGAATGATAAATTCATCCTTCCCCACAGCTCTATTTTTTATTTATTTATTTCCATGTAGGTATGTAATTGTCCTTAAAGATATGTATATTTTTTGTGGTTAACCACACCCCTAGGTATTTGATCTTCTTTTTTACACTTAATTCTGTGATCTGTTGTAGTAATTCTTTAGATTATACTGTCATATTTTTCACCAAAATTTTGTTTTTTATTTTATTAAGCTTAAAACCAGCAACTTGTCCAAACTCCAGAATCTTTTCTGATACCTTTGGTACACTTACCAAAGGTTCCTCCACTGTTATTACAAGGTCATCTGCAAAGGCTTTCAGTTTGTATTCTCTATTCCCCACCGTAATTCCTTTTACTCCATCATCTGCTCTTATGTTCCTTGCCAGGATTTGTGGATTCAAATAGTAATCAAGCACTGGCATTGGAAGAAGTTGGTATTGTTAGTGGTTCTTGTAAGCCCTTTTAGGCTGAAGAGCTGGATAGAAAGTTTGCATCAATACAAAGAAACTTCTTGTTCTGAGCTTTCCCCAGATCAGGTTTGTGGGGTTTGATCATGTCATGAATCCAAAGTGAGTGTCTTCTGTTATTTTTGTGGCCACTGAGCATACTCATTTGTTGACAGGTGGCACCCCTTTAAAAATGGTTTAATAGGTTAATTATCCCGTTTTGCATCTATAGCATAACATATTGTATGGGTTTTCAGTTTGAGCTTTTTAATTTGGTTTTCAAATTATCAAGATAAGGTGTTTTTTGGTGTGTGTTTTGAGACTCTTACTTGAAAAAGTGTATAGTTCCTTCCAGTTGCATTATCATCTCCAAACTTGATTTACTATGCTCCATTCCTGACTGTTCATCAATTAAAATAATTCTTGGAAAAGCCGAATTGTACTGTATGCAGAAGAGCCACTGGACTGTGAAACAGCAATATCTTTAGAGCAGGGACAGGGAATCTGTGGCCTTCCAGGCATTGTCTGATTACCACTCTCTTGACCAAAGTCCATGCTGTCTGGTAATAATGGGAGTTAGAGTACAACATCTGGAAAGCCGCAGGTTCCCCATTTCCTGCTTCAGAGAGAAAGAAGATCTGTTAGGAAGTTGCCTAATTGGTTTCAACCTGACTATTTTTTCTTAACTTGGATGCAGCAAACAGAGCTGCTTAACAGATGCCTAAAACCATTCTGTTGACGAACTTGAATTATTTATCCTAATATTGCTTTTGAAATAACTAAAATATATCACTTAGAATTTGAACTGCTTTAAAAATTACCAACTTAAGAGTTCATAGGAAGCACTGTTAATAGTAGGTAAGCCCTTTATTTAACATGCTCCTATTTCTTAATATAATCAGAAAGAGGGTAATTTCTGCAGTGGTATACTAATAGTAAAATTCTCTTCCCGGACAAATTATCCTGGCATTGATATTCCTTCCAACGTATACGCTGATGTTACTCTATATGCTTTCTTTTCTTACCTGACTGTATAGACTTGTATGTTGGCTTTTTGTTTTTGTAAACAGCTTTCAATAAAACTTTAAGTTGAAGAAATGTGTATACATTTATTAAATAAGTATCTAGCTTTGTTTGATATTACTGGCTTCTCAGAAAGATATAAGCACTGACCAAGTGCTAACCTATAACAACCTAACATTTGCCTAACATTGAAAAAGAAAAATAGAATGACAAGTCTTTAAACGAGAATCAGTTGGGTGATAGCATACTTCACGATAGACCCATTGAAAAATGGACTTAAATTAGTAATGTTTGCTGATTTTGGTGGCTAATTCTTGGTTTGATGGAACTTAGCATGTTTAGCTTAGATGTGAAAAGTTTTTTTGTTCTGCAAATGTAGACAGGCAAATGAATCCCTGGTCTGTTAGTGTTTGATAACATGCATGTATGGGAATCTTACTAGAAGCTCACACTTTTCTCTCTTATTTCAGATTGGAAGATGAATAATCTTTCGTTTAGTGAACTGTGCTGCCTATTCTGTTGTCCACCATGTCCAGGAAAGATTGCTTCCAAACTGGCCTTTTTGCCCCCAGATCCTACATACACACTGATGTGTGATGAAAGTGGGAGTCGCTGGACTCTACATCTTTCTGAACGAGCAGACTGGCAATATTCCTCTAGAGAAAAAGATGCCATTGAATGTTTTATGACTAGAACCAGCAAAGGTAACAGGATTGCCTGCATGTTTGTGCGTTGTTCCCCTAATGCCAAGTATACTTTGCTCTTCTCGCACGGGAATGCTGTTGACCTGGGCCAGATGAGCAGCTTCTACATAGGACTTGGTTCACGGATTAACTGCAACATATTTTCATATGATTATTCTGGATATGGAGCAAGTTCTGGAAAACCAACCGAGAAGAATTTATATGCTGACATCGATGCTGCTTGGGTAGCTCTTAGAACAAGGTAAATAGAAATGCATTATTTGTATGTGTATATGCATATGTATTTATGTTTAATTTGGATAAATGTTTCCATTTAATCAGGTGAGCTTTGTACATCAGTAGTCTGTCCCATATTTTGCCCTTTCACCTATCAGGAAGAGAGAGAGAATAATACTAATTCATTAAATAGCAAAGAAAAATAACAGTTTGTATTGGCAGAGCCCATAGCAAATGGATTAGTTATTTAGTAATTTTACATCAGGAAGGAGAGCCAAGTGAGAGTCTTCTTGCTCAAATTCTTACTGCTGATTCATCTGTTTAGAAAATATATATTTCTGTTCTGAAACTGAACAATTTCAGTCCAGTGGAGATTGAGTGTTTGAATGTTTCCTTATTTCAGAAAAGAATCTGCAGATATGTAGAGTCTGCATATTAAGAACTGGAATTCTAGCCAGCCTTCTTTCTGGCTTGCATACCTATAGCCATTCATTTGTGTTTACCAACACTGGGGGGTCCTTTTCTAAACAAATGGCTCTGAATTCTTAAAAGGCAACTTTTCAGTCCAGCTGACTTTAAGCAAGTCTTGCAAATCTTAGGTTTCCTGTTCGCCGCCATCTTTCCATTCACTTACATTTACATACATCTGTGTATACAATCAGACACAAGCACACCTACTAATTTTCTGATAAATTCCAATTTATCTCCTCCCCACTTTCTTCTTGTAATTGTGGCTGTTGCTCCTCACTCTTCAAGGATGGAAGAGACACTTGTTTCTCCATGATGTTTTTGACCCAAAGAGTGAGCACTCTGCAGCTGTGTGTACGGCCTCTCTGACCAGTAAGGGTTAAGCTGTGCGTGTGTCGCACGTTCCAGGCTGGAAACAGCACTGTAGTGCTAATTACTCTTTGAGAGACAAAGTAGAGTTTGTGGAGACTAGGGCATGTTATTTACCTTGGACCAATTGCTATTGGCCCTGGTAAGTAGTGAAGTGCTTCTTCAACTGTCACTGCAAGAAACAGGCAACAGTTGTGAAAACCTGAAACTCAAATCTCTCAAATGTCTACTGAAGTTAGATATTGTTTAAAAGTTGAACAACTAAGGGTTGTTAAGATTTCTTTAATATGAGGAGGCTGTTGTTTGTCCTTCATTTAAAGGAAATATACATTTAGACTGGTTGATATTTCTGAGGCATTGTGCAGAGATTAACTACTTTCTGCATTCATTATCTACAGGTGAATTTTTAAGACCTTTCTACTGCCAGGTATTTATCCTCTGCAGTGATCTAACATTTTAATTACTTGAAAGTAAATCTAAGAGTAGGAAGAAGCTTTTAGGCTTGGTTCTGCTCTACCTTCTAACCTTTTTTCCACCTGGTAGAACATTTGCATTTTAAAAACTTGCATATATATAGATTTATGAGTAAAAATAGAGCTATATTTTTATTGTATAGGTTTCTGCATAAAATAGTGTGGGGAAAATGTGCAAATTGTATATTTTGCTAAGATTTGTGCAGCTTTTTTGTGTTCTGATATTTATTAGGAACTGGTCATGCACGTATTGACTAGAAGTGTGTAGGTAACACTGGATGTTAAGTGAAAGGATCTAGTAGTTGCACAGATACTGCAAAACATTCCCTGTCCTACAAGTTCCTGGGAGTCTTTCTCAGAAACCTTTTGAATTCATATGGCTCCAAACATTTAGGGAGTGATTCAGTGTCGTGTGAGTGGGTGTCAACTCCTCTATTGAGACCTCTCCTGTCTAGAATCATAGAATCATAGAATCATAGAGTTGGAAGAGACCACAAGGGCCATCGAGTCCAACCCCCTGCCTTTCCCTGTCCCCGTGGGACCATCCATAACAGATTGGGGAGGGCTTGAGGGGGAGAAGAAGCTGAACGTCTGATTGTACAAGTAGATTTCCTTTGCACAAGAGAATGAACATCATTGAGTGTCACCTTAAGAGATTTATTTTATAGCAATAAGGGCTAGTTTTTGATAGTCATGAGTAACACATATATGGTAGTTGAGTGGTGGTATTAAAACAACTTGATAATGAGGGTTTCCTATCATTAGTAAATTCAAATTTGGAAGTGAGACTTAAATTTGAACAGAGAAAGTGATAGTTGTGGTGTGCAAGTATATTAAGTTTGTTACAAAAGTAGAACATTATTGAGGATTCTGCGTTGTGGTAGTCAAAGATCCTAAGCTTAAAAGCTGCATATTGAAAGCTTTGGGTATGGTTCCAAAGTTACAAGCCTGCCTCCCCAACCCCACCATTATTCACCTTCCATTTTTCTTTTTACCCTAAGATTTATATGCCTGCCAAAATAATTATACCAAAGAACATTCACAATATGCACTCATATAGGTTGTGAGGCTAACACCAACATTTTCTTTATTGTTTCCTCCTTTCTAATATGGAGCTAGGAAACAGAAGAGAGAATGGAAAAAATCTTTTCATCCTAAAATTGTTTCCTAAACCTTTTTAATGATTCATTATCTACAGTCTGGCTGCCCATAACTTTTATAATAAATGGTATTGTCAATATACTGTAGGCAGTGCCACGAGCCCCTTGATTATAGAAGTCTGCCATTTTAGCCAGTCGACATTAAATTAGTATCGCTCTTTCAAAGACCTAAGCACAAGCTGTTCAAAATCATATTGCTGTAATTTAACTGGTGTGTACTCTGCACCAACTGCCGTGTTCTAATTTTAATTTTATGTAATAATCATTCTCTCCATATTGTGTATGTTCAGGCATGAATACTCTTGCATAAAACAGCACCTCTCATTCATACACGGGGGTATTGGTAACCTTGGGGCACCCCAGGGTTTGCCAAAGTACAATTTCTTGCCTTTGGAGAAAATTAGTTGATGCTGTAAAACACCCACACACACCCTCCCACACCCATGCTGCTTTTTAAGTGCTCGATTTTGAGTGTGCTGTGCACCCGCCTCCTGGCACTACCGCCCTGGGCGGAGGGGGGAGCAGCTGGCGCCGGCGCTGCGTGCCTGCCTCCCGGCTCTACCACCCTGAATGGGGGGCGGCCAGCGCCCTGTTCCCCAAGCCAGTGCTTGGTTCCAAGTGCGCTGCGTTCCCACCTCCCAGCTCTACCGCCCTGAAAACTTAGTGTTCTATGGCCAGTGAACAGTTAGTTTGCAGGTGGTGATGGAATAGAAAACTGGGTGGATAGGAGAATGAAGTACCATGCAGAAGGGATGACTGGCTGCTGGCATGGCCAGTGAACAAGAGCTCTCCAAACTGCCATATTTTGCTGCCTATCCCACCAGCGTATCCTGCTTTCTAGCTTTGTTTCATGTTTGAGATATTGAGTGCCTATTCATAGCTAGTGGACGTTTTTACCTCAGTCAGTTTTATTGCACATAGCCAAAGGCTGCCGCAATGTACACAGAATTATTTGACAAAAGAAAATATACTGAATTGGTAAAAAAAGACTTAAAACATTTATATTATTAAAACATTACATACTCTAAACAAAGCTATAAAAGTACCCCAATGTACAAATAAAAACATTAAACAATAAAATTCATAAGCTAAAATCATCACATGGTCACTAATGTTAAAAACAATATCAATTAATACAGTGTGCAATTTATACTCAGAGTTTGGTGACACAGATAGAGCATAGCCTGAGGTAGATAGATAGGATCAAATAAATTCATCTCCTTTGCAGTTAATGGCTACCTTGGCTATATAATTTGCTCTAATTTTCCTAGCAGCAGTTGCAAAAAGTGCTACCCGCCAGGTCACATACTTATCTGTGTCTGCAAGGAGATATAACATCATATCAAGGGGGTTCTGGCCAGGGGACCCTGTCATTATAGGTACCAAAAATCTTTTTCTTGCATCATTATATAACGGACAGTGCAAGATATAATGCATAAGGTCCTCTACTTCAGAACATCCCCTAATGCAAACACGTTCGTTTTTTGGTGTGCCTCTATGTTTCCCATCTCTATAAGCAGAGCTTATTGTATTTAGTCGTAGCTCTGTAAAAGCTTTTCGAAGCTGTGCAAAAGTCAATTCATTAAAATAAGATATGTGTTCGTTGACCTCTCTAAGTTTAAAATACAATGGGGCGCGTGTAGATGTGCACATAGAGTTTAGATCGTTTTTAGTTGCCACTGCCCTTATGGTTCGTTTAAAAATATTTTTCTGTGAATATAAGGGGAGTTCTTTAATCTCAGTCACTGAGAGGTCATATTTGCCCATCAGTTGGGCAGCATGATGTACCCAGTTTTTAAAGGGTAATCCATTTGAGAGCTCAATCAGGCATTTTTTTGGTAGCCTAGTGTTGTCCATCTGTTGAACGCTAAACCAGTAATAGAGAATTCTTTTATCTATTTGGCTCTCTATGCTCAACATGCGAGTTTCCAACCTGACCATGGCAGATTGCACGTCTTTGGGTAAACCTAAAAGAACTCTTAAAAAATGAGTGCCTATTGGGTTTGAGTTGGTTGCAGTATGAAGGAAAAATGTTTTCTGTGTCTAAAAGGAGCATTTGGAAGGTTTGAGTCCCTCTTAGTTTGCTTGTCCAACTTCACAAGAGACACCACGCTAACAGTAAGTGTTAGCACTTGTATAGTGAATTCAGGTGTTCAGAATGTTTCACATGGGTTCCCTAGTTGTAATCCTAACGACCCTACAAGATGGCTTTCCTCAACCTGGTGCCTGCCTCCAGGTGCTCTGGATTGCAGCTCCCTCCAGCCACATTGCCAATGGGGTTGGTGAAGCTCAGAGAGGGAGGACCTTCCACAGCATGAAGGTTCATGGGGAACCTTCTAGAGGGGTCCTGCCAATGGTGGGTGCAGTCAGAGGCCAAAGTGGGTGGACTCTTACCCTGGTTACAGTTGGCTACATTTCAGTCAAGCAAAAATCAGGTTTATCACAGTTGAAGGTCAAGGTTTTTGCTAGGCAGAAGCACTTGCAGAGATCCCAAAGCAGGCCAGTAAAGGGGGTCACCCAGAGGGAGTCCTGAGAGTCAGATAGAGAAGCCTAGAGGTCCACAGTGGAATTTGCTCCCACAAGATGTGGTAGTGTCCATTAACGTGGACAGCTTTAAAAGAATTTGCCTAATCCTATGTTTTGCCTCCCCTGTCAGAGGCAGCTCTCTACGTACCAGTTGCTGGCAATAACAAGTCAAGAGCTGTTGCGCTCCTGTGTTCTCTGCAGGCTTCCCATAGACATCTAATTGTCCACTGTAAGAACAGGATGCCAGACTAGATGGGCCTTTGGCCTGATCCAGCACAGCTCTGGTACATTTCCCCTTCTTCCTTTCTCACAGTTGATTCCAGCGGCATAGCAAAATGGCTTGACTTCCTTCAGTTCAATAGTAGCCTGCTGTGTGGCATTGAAGGGGAGCAATGCTGGGAAGTACCGTATTTTTCGCCCTATAGGACGCACTTTTCCCCCTCCAAAAATGAAGGGGAAATGTGTGTGCTTCCTATGGGGCGAATGCAGGCTTTCGCTGAAGCCTGGAGAGCGAGAGGGGTCGGTGCGCACCCACCCCTCTTGCTCTCCAGGCTTCAGGAAGCTCTGTGCAACCCTCGGGAGACCGGCGCGACTTCGCGCCGGGCTCCCGAGGGCTGCGCAGAGCTGCCTGCAGTCCCGGGCTTTGCGCAGCTCTCCGCAAGCCTGGGGAGACCGGTGCGACTTCCCGCCGGGCTCCCTAGGCTTGCGGATAGCAGGCTGTTCTCGGGGCTGGGGTCGGGGGAAGCTTGGGGAGTAGAATAAAAAAACTTTCTTTATTCCCCCCCCCCCAAAAAAAAACTAGGTGCGTCCTATGGGGTGAAAAATACGGTATTTGAGGGATTCTCTGTAGCCTGGACACAGCCACGTGTAATATTTCTCCATAGAAATGTATTTGCCTGCCTTTTTATTACCTTCCCCTTCTGGCACACCCTCCAAGATAGGCAATAAGGCTTGGATATGGTTTTGGTTGCCCTTTTTAGACTAGTTTAGAAAATGTGTGTTTGTAAATAGTTTTTATTCCTGAATTTGAGAAAGAAATACAGACACTTCTGCCATGCAAATAGTGAATGCCACTTTTATACAGTATGTGCAGGCTGTTTTTAAAAAGGAGCAGCATCTGCTGCATTTATTGGGTCTCAGAAGTATAATGTTTTACCTACACCTTAAAAAAACCCCTATTTTTTTAAGCTATTAATTTTATCACAAATTGCAGTATTTGCAGAAATCAAGTTATTTCCTGCCAAGTTTGTTACACTTGATGAAAGAAGGAAAAATGATTTATGCTTTGGAGTTTGTATGAGTTTTCTGAAGTGAACATTTGTATATTCAGTAATTTTACTCATGGAATGACATGCTACTTACTTTTTCAGGTACGGAATCCGCCCTGAAAATGTGATTATATATGGACAAAGTATAGGAACGGTGCCATCTGTGGATCTTGCGGCTCGTTATGAAAGTGCTGCTGTAATTCTTCATTCTCCTCTGACCTCTGGAATGCGTGTAGCTTTTCCTGATACCAAGAAGACCTACTGCTTTGATGCATTTCCAAAGTAAGCTGTAGTATTTTCATACAGTTAGATGAACCACCTAGTAAGCACTTCGTAAACAATGAGTAGGGAAGTCACTAAGCTTAAAATAAAGAAGCCTTAATCAGTTCAAAGCGGCTTGATTTTGAATTTTGCTGTGAATGAGACTGTTTAAAATGCCGTGATTAAAACAATTCCCCCCCCCCCCGTCAAACTGGTAACTTCCATATGAATACTTAATACTTTCTAGTATGCCTCAACAGTCTCTGTTGGCATTGTGTCAGTTAAATAAGGCACACTTCAGATAAACAAAGAATTCAAAGCTAACAGGTGATAGCCAATATCTGCTGGGGTGGAGGGGCTTACCCTTCCTCTCAAGACCCTGCACTCCCCACATCTGCTCTGGAGGGGCCACCAACATGCTGGGTCAGATTTGGCAGGCATACAGGCAGCTGCCAGGGGGCTTGGAAGGGGAGCCTCGGTCTTCTCACCAAAGGCCCCCCCCCCACAGGCAGGCCCAGCTGGATATCGCCCAGTGTGCATCAACAAATGTTCCAAGGACAGCTATTTGTGAAGTTGTAGACCTTTGCATACTGATTTGTTTTTTTGTGTTCCTGTAGCATTGACAAGATCTCTAAAATTACATCCCCGGTGTTAATAATCCATGGGACTGAAGATGAAGTGATTGACTTTTCACATGGCCTAGCATTATTTGAGCGCTGCCAAAGACCCGTTGAGCCGCTGTGGGTAGAAGGGGCAGGACACAATGATGTTGAGCTTTATGGACAGTACCTTGAAAGATTAAAACAGTTTGTATCACAGGAACTGGTGAATTTGTAAATTGCTTTATATATTATTTGCTGTTGAATTTCATGGCAGAACTGTAGATCTTTATAGCCACAGCATAAAACCTGATGGTTTTGTTTTCAAATTGGGTCAGTTGCCTTCAAGTGTGTACAGGTAATGATTTGTAAACCTAATTAATGAAGATTTTAATACCAGTATTAGCTGGAACAGTGGATGTTGGGGACAAGCTTGTGTAGTTCATCTATTTTTTGCAAGTTTTCTTAGACTAATACATAAGTCAATTTGAAAGTTTTTCTTAAGATGTACAAAAACCATAGAAAAGAAGGAAAATTTTAATTATGTAAAATCAAATGCTGTAAAAGTGTTGCCAAATGCTTTAGCATATCAAAAAAGTTTATATACAATATTTTTAAAACATCTCAAACTGTACTGTGATCTACTCTGTTGCACAGGTATAATTGAAGCAGTTGTAAAGTATAAATAGCCATTATATTGAAGGAATAGGAAAAAGGAAAAACAACCACTGGAATTTACAGGCCCTATTATATAGGGAGCAAGTCAAAACATGTGTTTTATTATCTTTCATGTCTTGTTCTCAATGTTTTTCTCTTTTCCTGAATGACTAATGGCCAAAAATGCTTATTTAGCCATTTGTGTTGCTCTGCAAAACAAAGGCACAAAATTGTGATTTTTAGAACTACCCCTGTTAACAGGGTACATATTAAAGCAACTAAATGCAGTGGTTTCTCTTAAATTGGTATGAAATATGAATATCATTGTAAGTGGCCATTTTGAAAATCATCATGTAAAGAAACAGAACTTGGATAATAATAAACTAATATTTCTCTAACTTTTTTGTACTGGCAAACATGCAAAGTTGCAGTTGTCATTTCAGATTTGATTTGAATGTTTGTAAGTGTAGGACTAATTGTTTCAATTATTATGAAAAACCTACTAATGTACTCCTATATAGTGAAATGAATGTTGACAACTCATAGTAAAATAAGTTGCCTTTCCCTTGAAATTTTTTTGCTTGAATAAAATATAAAATAGACCTAAAATGTAGCCTAATTTGTAAACAAAGTAATACTCAAATACACACTGTGCTTCTCATTTTAAAGCCTTACATAGTTTACTTGTTTGGCTCGTTTTTGTGATTGTCTGGGGAAAATGTATTCTGTATTGTGAATGCCTAGATTCTGATATGTTTAACTCAAATAACAGAAATTCCACACACTTGATACTGAGCTTTTCCTGCAAAGCATAAACAGCAAAGTTCCTGACATAGCACAATTCCCTATGTGACTAAAACATCTTGCCAAAATCCGCTGCTTCCATTATCTTGACCTCTTTCTACAGCTCTTTGCTATTTTCATAATCCATTTCTACTTGAGAGAGTCAGCTTGTCTCAGTATACACTTTGCTTAAATGAAGTCATGCTAGCTTCTAATTAAAGCTTAGAGTAGCTTTAATGTTTTCATAAATGAAGGAGTGGACATATTAAGCATACAGGATAAATTTATGGCTTGTCACAGTGAGTAGCAAATATGCTGAAGTTACTGGTTGGAGTCAGAGGTGTATCCTATTGGTCCGTTCCACTGTATATAAACAAACATCATGCAATGTAGTAACACATTTTGTGCCCCTCCCCAATAAACAGAACAAATTATGCCAGTCCCCCTGTTCCACCTGCATCGCACTGAAGTTGTCCCTTGACTATGTGGAGGAGAGTCAGTTGCAGCAGGGGGGGAGGGGGGGCTAAACAAGCAGACAGCATCTATGAACTGACCTGGAGTTGTGCTAGTTGAGTTAAAAACTTTCTTCTGTTGCTAATTGAAAGAACACACACTCTGTGCTTAAGACTTTATAGATGCCATTATGATTCTGTTAAATCTTGTTAAATAAGTTGAGACCACAAATTAGAAATGTATGCACTAGCGTAGCATCATACTCTTTGAGGTAGTTTGACTCGACATCATGTTAAGTGCCTATGTAAATTTTAGCTTAAAGGTAAAGGTACCCCTGTCCGTATGGGCCAGTCTTGCCAGACTCTAGGCTTGTGCGCTCATCTCATTCTATAGGCTGGGAGCCAGCGCTGTCCGCAGACACTTCCGGGTCACGTGGCCAGCGTGACAAGCTGCATCTGGCGAGCCAGCGCAGCACACGGAAACGCTGTTTACCTTCCCGCTAGTAAGCGGTCCCTATTTATCTACTTGCACCCGGGGGTGCTTTCGAACTGCTAGGTTGGCAGGCGCTGGGACCGAGCAACGGGAGCGCACTCCACCGCGGGGATTCGAACCGCCGACCACGCGATCGGCAAGTCCTAGGTGCTGAGGTTTTACCCACAGCGCCACCTGCGTCTCATCCAAATTTTGGCTTACAATACTGCAAAATATGCATACATTCATATTAGTTTGGCCTTTGAAAGTGTCACTGAACTTACTGGAGCAGTTGTATACTGTGAAAGTTGAGTTTTTGTAGCTTGATAAGGGACTATAAAGTATGTGGGTGGCGCTGTGGGTTAAACCACAGAGCCTAGGGCTTGCTGATCAGAAGGTCGGCGGTTTGAATCCCCGCGACAGGGTGAGCTCCCGTTGCTCAGTCCCAGCTCCTGCCAACCTAGCAGTTCGAAAGCACGTCAGAGTGCAAGTAGATAAATAGGTACCGCTCCGGCGGGAAGGTAAACGGCGTTTCCGTGCGCTGCTCTGGTTCGCCAGAAACGGCTTAGTCATGCTGGCCACATGACCCGGAAGCTGTATGCTGGCTCCCATGGCCTATAGAGCAAGATCAGCGCACAACCCCAGAGTCGTCCGCGACTGGACCTAACGGTCAGGGGTACCTTTACCTTTTTAACTTTACAGGTATCTCTTTACTCCTCTGCACTAGTGAAATCAAAATGTTTAGTTGTTCTACTTTACTGAAAGCAGAAATCTATTTAGTCATCAAACTCCAGCTTCACTCCTGTGTATTGTTTAAACATTCAGTAGTTCTAGAGAAGCTCTGCTAAATTTTCTTCTATCTGGTCACTTTGTCAGAAATCCATTCCTCAAATTGTTTTTATCCAGATGCCCTGTTTTAACATGAGGGGGCAATTGGCTCAGTTAATTGCTGAGAGAAAGCTTAACAGTTGACTTTCACCTCATATTAGTACAAGACGTAAAAGACTGTGTTCTTTGTTTTCTGTTTGTCTGTTCTGTATGATTCAAAATCTGAATAGTTTTTCACATGAAAAGCTGCTCCAATAAAACTCAACTTAATTCCAAAGTACACCATCACAGAAACTTACATTTATTCTAGGGGTTGTTTTATTTTTTTTAATGAAGTAAAATCAGGGCAGCGATATAGGTGGCCATATAATAGCTGTTAGAGCTATCCGGGGTTGGTAACTTAACTTAGGTAGTCTACATGTGAAATCAACATTTGTCTTTGGGTAAAGCAGCTTGTAAATTCATGGTAGGATTACAGTTGTATTATTAATATATAACTTATAGTTGTGTAGGAAGCTAACTTTTATTATGTCCACACTGTCCCACATTTCTGATTGTAGCTGTGAAGAATGTGGGAGAATTTACCTCACTGTATAGCTTGATGCTACAGACAGCCACCCCCTGGTTGGCGCTGCCTTACAGTGACTTGACCAGTGGCTGCTATGTGCCATTGTCCTCTCCTGTCCATCCTGGAGGGTCTTGTGGGCAAAATGATCCATTTTTATCAGCTAGTAAAGAGGCAGTCTGCAGCCTCTGGATGGGGTTGCCCAGCAGATAGTAATTATTAGTGTGAAAAAGCATTAATATACTTCTCCCCCCTTTTATATTTAGAGAGGTATGATGTGCTTTGCCATGCCAGGACTAATTCCTAATGATTTAACAAACTTGGGTCATGCCCAACATATTAGCTGTGGAAACATTGATGCAACCTAGTAATCTAGACATAGACTACCATAATATACCTTTTGAAAATACTGGAAATAAGTTCAAATTTGCTTATGCTTAGTTAGAATCAAATTACACTACTCAAAACACGTTTTGCACAAGGCATTGGGGAGGGGATGGGATTGGGGATGGGCTTTTGGTCAAGAGTGGTAAGTATGGCTTCTAAAAATGTATTTACAGTAGAGCTTTGCATGGGCATTGAAGCCAAGCCCTGTCACCCGGCATACACTCCATAGTTCCAAGTAAGGCTTGATGCTCATTCTGTACTGATACTTTTTAAATATATACAGTATAGGGCTGATAGTGGCAACTGGGATAACTTTTGCAAACGATCACTGCATCTTTTCACTGTCAAGTGAAAGGGTAGTGGCCAGAAAAAGCTTGTCATCTTTATTTTAGAATTGGTGCTAAAAAGCAGTATGAACTACAGACTAGAAGATTCATTTCATTCCTGTGCATTATAAGCTTGGCAACTCTTGATGTTCATGATTTTGGGGGAATGAAGGTGGTTGAGTTGGATCCTATAGCCTGAGAGCAAAATGGGTGCATGATGTGTGACTTCAGGATGAGCACTACCTCAAACTGGTCTGGTTACTTAGGGATATTTGAGACCCTCACAATTGAAAGTGTGTTTAGAATACAATTATGAAAGTGTTGCTTTGGTAAAGAGGTTAATTAATGTTTCTACAGGCAATGCAAGGAATTATCTGAAATGGAAACTATTTGCATTGACTTAAATCTAAACCACGTTAATGTTACTAATGTTTTGCTTGTGTTATTTCTCTTCTCTTAAAATTCGGTTTATCTAAAGTTGGGTCTAAGCTTTACCCACTGTTAACTGTTTAAACATTCTGCTGATTATTGTACATGAAGACAACTCAAAGACAACACAAATAAAGCCTATCTTTTGACTATTTCATTGTTTCAACATTTTTGTTGTGATTCTTTACAGCTTTACAGAAACTGATTGGAGCAAATGTTCATGAGATCATACATTTATTGTATATGAGCCAGTGGATGCTAAAGGTGTATTAGTACAAACATTATTTAGAATATGAAGATGGATTTGGTTTTTGCTACCTAGGAATTAGCAAATCATTTCCTACCTGTAATATATAAAGTCTATACAAAAAAAATACCCTTTTCCCCTCTGTCGTGGAAGCATATTAGTATAGTATAAGTACCCTACGCCATGGCTGATATAAGGTACCGGTATATGTCAGAGATGAGTGGTCTCTGGCCCTCCAGACAACAGACTATGATTTGCATAATCAGTGATCATTTGCCACATGGGCTGGGGCTGAGGAGCACTGAGGAGTCCAACAGTATAGGGAGGACCACAGGTTTCTTATTCCTATTATCTGTAGTTGAAATCTATTTTTGCAAGAATTAGCTCACTTGCAACATAGAAACGCAGGTGACGCTGTGGTCTAAACCACGAAGCCTCTTGGGCTTGCCAATCACAAGATCAGCAGTTTGAATCCACGTGACAGGGTGAGCTCCTGTTGCTGGGTCCCAGCTTCTGCCAACCTAGCAGTTCAAAAGCATACCAGTTCCAAGTAGATAGGTACTGCTGCAGCGGGAAGGTAAACGGTGTTTCTGTGCACTCTGGCACTCTTCATGGTGTCCTGTTGTGCCAGAAGTGGGTTAGTCATGCTGGCCACCTGACCCGGAAGGCTGTCTGTGGACAAATGCCAGCTCCCTTGGCCTGAAAGCAGAGATGAGCACCACCCTGCATAGTCGAATTTGACTGGACTTACCGTACTTTTCCGTGTATAAGACAAGGTTTTTTTATTTTAAAATTACGTTTAAAAATTGGGGGTCACCTTATACACGGATAGTGCATGGGAGGGATGTGGGATTGGTTACTGCCCGAGAACCGTAGATTGTCAGCCGGTATTTGGCGTGTTATTGGTGGCTGCGGCAAGTGCTGATGTTGATTGGCTGTCGCTGTGGCACTAGGACGGGCGAATGGCAGCTTCTGCTGGCACGGGGACAGACGATAGGTGTGTTTTGGGAAGCGTGCGAGTGGCACCGTAGGTCAGGTGGGTGAGCTATTTTCGCCAATCCCCCCTAAAATAAACTCAACAACCCTGGGGCACCCCCCCTCCTCAAAAGCTCAAGAACTCAGGGAAATCTCCCCCCATTTTAAAAATTTTGTGTCTCCCAAAATAGGGGGCATGTTATACACAGAAAAATA